GGTATCAGTTTAAGTGCAATTTGATTCTTTAAAGGAAATTTTGTGTCTACTATCTTACCTTGGAAATCACATTTAATCAACTCTGATCAAGGTTGTAATAGGAACATTACACATTTGTCACAAGCACTTTACAACCTAGTATAACCCACATGGAGAAGAGATATAGAAAGGAAATTAATACCGAATATCAAATAGATTTTTCAATTATGAGGTCCTGCATATTTGAGTAGGATCTAAGACCTGAAAAATGTATGCAACCCTCTTAAATCATCACTACTTTTTTAACCACCGCATTGTGCATAGCACCTTATTGCCTTCAATAACTTGTGCATTTTTTTTAATTTAGCAATATTTTAATGTTTTTAATGTTTGTTTTTAATTTTTTTTATTTGAAATTAAAAGTATTGAATTTGGCAATATTTTGACATTGCCCGATAAGTTTAGAAAACGAGAACAATGTTAGTAATTCATTAACAACTGCATCACGAATGTCACATGAAACGGAAGCGCTATGCAGGGGAGTTAAACAAACTGAACGCAACCCATCCTATCCTAATTAACGAAAATAAGAGATAAAGTGTTGTGCTTTACAAGTGGTGTGCACGTGGTGTGTGATGTTACTATGATACCATAATGTTCAGGCTGGTATGGATTTTTGATGCTACTAGTATATTTGGCCAGCTGTCCCAAGACACTACAAAAGACACACGCTAAAATATACGGTACTGTAATTATTTCTTATGTTCCTGTTTACATACAAGCCTGTTTGTGCCTCTGTCCATTGTTCAATACACGTTGGACTGGACAGGTTCTGGTATAGTTACCATCACAAGGACAAAAATAAGAACTTGGCAGAAAGCAAGCGTTACCTACATGTTGGTGTAAGCAGCAACCTGCGAGTCGGGAATTTGTGTGCACCACAATAGTCAGTGCTGAGGAAGCATTTTTTTTTAAATATATCATTTAACAGACTTTCCAATACTGGAATATACATACTTGTATGATCAACAGTTTGAGAGTTATCTACACACACTACAGTATATATATTTTTACATTAAATTCTGATTCTTTAAAAATCGCTAAAAAAATTTTGAAAAAAAAAAAAAATTACTATACTGTAATACTATAACATTGACAGGAGATTCTACTCAACTGTCTTTTACACTTCTAATAGCTATTAGCTAACTTTGTGCTTTTACATAGGTGTGTGACTCATTAAGCATGTCCACCAGAAACAGAGATAATAGTTAAAACAAAGGTTACAAGTATTCAATACAGCTCAGGCATGGAGGAAGATGCACAACACTGTACTGTACTTGGATATTCAGATCATTCCCATATTTTTATAGCCAAACACTAGCAAGACAAGAATAGTAGCAAAGTAAATGAAAAGAGAATTGTAAGTGTATGGAATAGGTGTACTCATGAATAAAGTGACAAGAATGAATAATCATTTAAGATTTTCATATGGAATAATTTCAATATATAAAGTGTCCATGTAACATTGAACTTAATTTTTTTACTCTTCTGTGTTGCTTCATTTGAATAAAATATTAAGCACCAAAAACTGAATGCTTCAATGTCCTGCCCCTCATGACCAATTTTTATAACACAAAAGTAGGGCAAAAGTTCCAAGCTTGATATACCATGAACCCACATTGCACAAATTACCTATTTTTTTCACTGAATTTACCGTATCTCGAGTACAAGTCATATAGTAGACTACATAACTTTATTCTATATCTAATTAGATTTAATTTTTTATTTCACCATAATCTTGGACAACTAAGGACTGTACTGTATTTAGCAATGAAGGAGGAATAATTTTAGTTTGAAAAAGACCAGCTTATGTGCTATCAATGAAGTAATGGTGAAAATACACAATGATATGGCTGCTACTTTGTGAACCCTCGAGTATGTGGAGTAGCTGGTATTGTCAGGTAGCATGGTCATTATTACCGAGACTGACAGGAAGAAAGCCCTCATTTATAGGCCTCCCAACACCATCCTCCATGAAACATGAGTACTTGTATACAAGCATGATGATTTACTGGATGGATTTAAAAATTCTAAATTTTAGAATGAAACAAAGCGAACATTTCATAGGAGACCCTAAAGTTTATGGAAGACTGATTTGTAAAATTACATAATGACATTAGTGATAAATGATAAGATGTGGGTCTGCTACTATGATTCCAAGTCTTGACTATGGAGTAGAAATTCTGATTTGCCTACCCTCAAGAAGGTTATGATTACCTTCTGTATTGTACTAGGACAAAATAATTATGGCCATTTTTCTGTATTCTAGCTTCTTTATCACCTGTATACTCCATTAAGGATGGGTTGCCTAGGTGAAAAAACACACAAGTGCTGCACATGATGTAGAGTAAGGATGAGCATAGACTATTTGTAACATTTGTGCTTGTCAGGGCTTTATCAAATCTAACAGATACACAGAGCACCAGTGTGCTCTGGTGCACACTTATGCACTAGTGTGCACATTTGTTACTTTTATATACACAGTAAATAAATGTAACAAATGAGATAAGCAAGGTTAATGAGGTGGAAGGTGTGATGGATTGTGTTACAATTTACATTTTGTAATTATTAATTTGGGAAGAGGGGAAGCAGCAGAATTTTCCGTCATTGTTTGAGAGTATGTAGTGTTTAATGGTTGTAGATTTCACACAGTCTACTAATGCTATTTTCTCCTTTGATGATTAATTTAACATATCTGAAATCTATGAGGTGTTACTCCTGATTCCTGGAAAATATTGAAGTCTCATGACACTTGAATACTAGATCATCCCATTCCTAATAAGCCCAGACCCACCTCCATTTACCATCTGCCAAAACCAACAAACCCAACACTCCCATCTGTGTCACTCATAGCACCCCCTCTCATTGACTTCCTGGTATTTTAGTGAAACCTTTGACTAAACTATTAGGTAATATTAGAATTATATATTTAAAAAACTAGAGATAATGTGTACTACAAAGAATTAGGAACATTAAAGTGAAGTAGTCAGCTAGCTATTCTGGATGTCATCTTGCCATTTACCATGGTTTCAATGGACTAAACCCAAAGACGATTGAAAATAAGACTACCTTCTTTTACTTTTCTCTATCCTGCAATAAATTCTTTAAACTACACACACACTTCAATTACTGTACTGTACTTCTGTTTTGACTTCAAATTTTGGCATAGTAACGGTGCCTCAAATTTGTGCTGCGGTAATTTATTCATGGAATTATTTTAAGCAGGACTATTTTTCAGCATTGTCCACAGTACTGTAAATGGCCTCATTATGTTGATGTCTTATTAATATACCATTTTGGCCTTAATAATTTTATGAATAGACTTACGAAAACTGCTTACAAAATGACCAATTTCTTTTACTCTCATCATGCTAACAGTACGAAACAAAGTATAGTGATTAAACCCTTTCCAGGGGCTTTTAGGATTTAGAGCCAGCAGTTCCATGAAAATGAATGTCAATTCATCACTGAATCTTCTTTAGATCATAAAAAACACATATATAAATACAGTATTTCATTAGGGAATGTAGAAAAAGTATCAAAGTTCATCAAAAGTAATACTAGCAAAACAGAACCAAGAGCAATAACTTTCTCCCAGCAGGATAAGCAGCTAACACCATAACCAATGCCTGCAATAAAGACAATACTATACTTTTAAGGGGTTATAAACAAAACATTCACTAAAAGCAATACCTTATCAGAAGGATAACCAACAGCAACATCTTGAAACTTAAATGTGAAAATTTACAACCATAAGTATGCCTACCATGCCAATAATGCTTGACAATGATTATCACACACTTTCGACAGAGTTCCACATAAGAGGTTACTTCTGGAAACTATCATATTGAAGGAGTGACAGGTAGGCTTCTAACATGGAGGAAAAATTTTCTAACCGACAGAAAAATGAGGGCAGTAATCAGGGGCAATGTATCGGACTGGAGTAACGTCACAAGTGGAGTACCACAGGGTTTAGTTCTTGCACCGGTAATATTCATTGTCTGCATAAACGATATACCAGATAGAATGCAGAATTATATGAACATTTTGCTGATGATGCTAATAGGGAAGATAAGAAACCTAGATTGTCATGCCCTTCAAGAAGACCTGGACAAAGTAAGTGTATGGAGCACCACTTGGCAAATGGAATTTAATGTGAATAAATGCCATGTTATGGAATGTGGAATAGGAGAACATAGACCCCACACAACCTATAAATTATGTGAGAAATCTTTAAAGAATTCTGATAAAGAAAGATCTAGGGGGTGGTTCTAGATAAAAAACTATCACCTGAGGACCACATTAAGAACATCATGCGAGGAGCCTATGTTACACTTTCTAACTTCAGAATTGTTTTTAAATACATGGATGGCAAAATACTAAAGAAATTGTTCATGGCTTTTGTTAGATCAAAGCTGGAATATGCAGCAGTTGTATGATGCCCATATCTTAAGAAGCACATCAACAAACTGGAAAAAGTGTAAAGATATACAACTACTGTAAATGGATTCCAGAACTGAAAGACAAGAGCTACGAGGAGAGGTTAGAGGAATTAAATTTGCCAAAACTAGAAGAGAAGAAGAAAAAGAGGTGATATGATCACCACATTCAAAATAGTAACATTAATCGATAAAATTGATAGGGAATAATTCCTGAGACCTGGAACTTCAAGAACAAGAGGTCACAGATTTAACTAACTAAGCAAAGCTGCCGAAGAAATAAAGGAAAATTCACTTTCGCAAACAGTGTGGTAGATGGTTGGAACAAGTTAGGCAAGAAGGTGGTGGAGGCCAAAACCGTCGGTAATTTCAAAGCGTTATATGACAGGCTGGGAAGATGGGACACCACGAGCATAGCTCTCATCCTGTAACTACACTTAGGTAATAGGTACACACACTAAGAGTAGTTAACAGATGGAATGCATTAGGCAGTGATGTGGTGGAGGCAGACTCCATACACAGTTTTAAATGTAGATATGATAAGAGTCCAGTAGGTTCAGGAATCTGTTTACCAGTTGATTGACAGTTGAGAGGTGGGACCAAAAAGCCAGAGCTCAATGCCCACAAGCACAACTAGGCGAGTACACAACCAGGAGCAACACCCCATTAATTTTAAGAATGCTGAACTAATCATCAAAGAAAACAACAATAGGAGATAATGTACCGAGTCTGCAGCCACCAAACACTGCACCATTGAACAGATGAAGGAAAAATCAATGCTACTACCCACCTAGCTAAATTAATGTTTAAAAATATATTAATTATAACAATCCCTTATGTCCCTCACCTTCACTTCACTGATTTTGCTTCACATTTGTCTCGCTGAAATCACTAATAATTTTTCCCTTTTTTATTATTACTATATCTTTCTGTATCTGTTAGATTTGATGAACCCATTACAAGCAACACATCTGCATATAATTTTCTTTCATCTTGTTGGTTCTTTAGGAATGATTTATAAGAATCATTGGGAAAATTATATCTATTGGGGTACTGCTTCTGCACATCAGAAGCGCCAAAGTTTGTCCATTGACCAGATGTAGCCAAATGAGTGATTACCACTTGCAGCTTTAGTTTGTCTTATTGGTTTTCTTTACAAGTTTACAGCAACCATCACATAACTTGTTATCTCTGGTTATAAATTGCAAGAATGGAGAGAATCAAGCACATTGTAAATTTCTCAATGAAGTTTTGTAACCTGTACCTGTGTGAACCTAGAAATCTGTAGTGCACACTGGAATGACAACTGAACTTCAGTAACTTCAAACTGGCTAGAATTCTCTTTTTTTCTTTTTTCCATCTATGAAAATATATACAAAACACTCAAATAATTTAAAAAAATATATACATCAACTACAGTATGTCTACCTACTAGGACTATCCAAATGAAATTTTTTTATGTATAATATTTAAATACTTCTTCCTCTAGTTTCTCCATATTGCTCTCATTCACATCAACAAACATTTTCTGTTGACGACTAAAATAATAAATATCTCCCGTATAAATATCAAACCACAGAGCATGGATGTATACTCTACCTCGAGACAATCCTTCACGCATGAAGTTGTAGCTGGCTATATTCTGTAGCTGCTGAAGTGTGTTCACCTGAGACAGTTTGTCTTCCTCCGAGAACTTGTTTTCTGGGTCAATATACGCAATGAAGCGTCGCATTGGGGTCTCGGCCTGGAACCAACAAAGTACCTCATGCATCAACATGATAATAAACAAGATGGAATGATAAATGTAATAGTAACACGATTTCTAATTTATGAAATGGAATAAAATGAACAATACAGTACAAGAAACAGAATGAAGAATATATTTGATAAATTAATGTAATACAGAACATTGTATATGAGATTTATTTCTTTGCAGAGAAGTACTGAACACAGCGATTGTCTAACATTAGATACACTGAATACTATACATCAGAAGCACCTCACATGTACCCGCACTGCGTGGGTACTCGCTCTTATCTATTGTGACAACAATCAATGGCCTTCCATTTTCATATCAGTTCCTTAGACAGTCAAACACTGGGCTTACCCTTCAGGTATAATTTCTAAGTCCAATTTTCCTTGATTTAGGGGTAGGATTTATTATTCTGAAATACTACAGTATTTAAATTTTATCAAACTGCACTCAGGTATTTTATCTTGAAACAGAGGGAATTTCCAAAATTCTGTCTATTCCATCTTCTTGCCACATGACCTATCACAGCCAATGAGAAGTATGTGATATGTGGCACCTTGTCATTGTTTGTTGTTTCTCAGGAGCTCTCATTGGCAGAGGTGAGCCCTCTGGGCTCACTTGACACTCGGGTCATTGGTGAAGGGCACTTACAATGGCACTCCATCTAGGTTTCTCAATTTGTCATTATACACTCAGTAAAGATCTTGACACTAAATATTAAGTCATAGCAACAATGTATAAGAGAAGAGAAGAGCAGCCAAGGTGCACCGGGCAACGATTCGTGAATCACGCTAAGAATCACCATGTCCTTAACTGGTGTTCTCTAGACATCTTTCAACATGACTGGTCACAGCTGCATGAAGTAGATGGCGACAAGTCAATGGTGTCAGATTACATATTTTATCAATAGGAAATGGACCAGGAGCTACACTTTAATCACCAATCTTATGAGGTGAAATAGAAATCCCAGTGGCAAAAAACCAGCTTTGAATGTAATGAAATGCCATTTTCTGGATGAGCCCCTGAGGCTTCCTGGAACCTAAGGGGCTCCCCACAGAAACTATGACTTCAGAGGAGAACATTAAAAGCTGTCACTCTAAGGAGAAAGACTTTGGAGCCCTGTTTTCAATTTGTACCTGACGCAAACTGAGTTATTCTGGTTTCTTCCTGCACTATAATCTTTTAGGGCCAACTAGTTAAGAATGTAGAGAGGTTGGGGTAAAAACAATTCTTGTATTGGTGCTGCCACCTGGTGGTAGTCAAGGGCATTAACCTGGTTGGCCATTTGGTAGTTAGCTACAGTAGTGTGCTGCTTAAGAAAAAAGGAAGCAGCAGAAGACCTGTTGGCTCATATGAGGCAGCTCCTATGTTTATCAAACTGCTTGCCAGTCTTTAATGTCAAGTTGTACTAGGAAAGGCTACAACTTTTATGTAGATACACTTTTTGAATGCATTTTTAACCAATATGAATAGGTTTCCAGAATAACCTTAATACCAGTATGACCTGGCTAGGACAGTTTCAATGTCAATATGTGCTGATAAGGCCAGGCCTAGGAGCAGAGGACCAGTTACAGCCCCGCTCCTGTGTCAGGCAAGTCCACTACGGGGCTCAATGTAGTCTGTGCTACTTGGAACTTTCTATTCCAAGTAGCTGAATCTAAAACAACAGCAGGGGGCCAAGGTGCAGGAAGTGATGTTTGGGCCCGCTCGCCCCAATTTGCATGAAATTACAGATATACAAGAAGTATATAACAAATAACATTTTATTTAGGAAAAGTACATACATAGATGCAGAGTTACAAACATACTGTTGGATTTATAGATAGAGCTAGTACATACAATACCTAAAGCCACTAATACGCACAGTGTTTTGGACATTTCGAGCAATCAGAAGGGTGTATAGTATTCGATAAAAAATTGCATAATACTTTGCACCTGAAACCTAAATTGTAACACTCATCTACCCAGTTTTAAGTCTTAAAAGTGAGAATTGCAAGTGTCTGTAATATAAATAAAAATATATACAATACTATTCAACTGATAAGTCAGCTAAGGAAATTAAACAATCTTGCCTCATTATTCAGTGCATGTACAGTATTTTATTCAACTCTGTTTACTGAAAGTGTGTTGAGCACTAGCCACTATGATTGGCAAAGTTGGTACAGTATACAAGAACAACAATAATGTTATGGAACTTTCACCATAACTGAAATTTATTTAGAATTTGGTAACACTTTGGTTGACATTTATATGCAATGCTCTTCTTTAAAAATTTATTTTACTGTACAGGGGTTCCTTAGTTTTCGTAGTTAATCCGTTCCCAAAGACAGTATGAAAACCGAAAAATATGAAAATTGAAACAAATCTTCCCATAAGAAATAATGTAAATAGAGTTAATCCGTTCCACACCCCCAAATATATTAACTTTACCTTTATTGAGGACTCTTGTGGGCGTATGGAAGACAGTGAGGAAGGGAGGAGGAGGAGAGGTGTTAGTGTTTGGAAGGGGAGTCCCCTTCCATTATTAACAGCAGCGATAACATTTCTGGGGTACTCTCTCTCACGTTTTGCTGGCATACCACTAGGACCTGGTTGTGGCTCACTGCTTGCTTGTCTTACTAAGAATCTGTCTACAGACACTTGTTTTCCTATGTTTTAACTCTTGTCTGAAGTGAGACATCACATTGTCTCACAATGAATGATCTCTTGTTTTTCCTTTAATGTCATCCTCACAACTCTTTTTATTAGGTTGAATATTACCACTGACTTTCTTGGAACCAATGGCGTGATATATAATAACTTATGTTCAGAAACCGAAAAAAAGCACAAAAGCAATGAAATGCTTCAAACAGAATTCAAGCATGATCATCACTAGGCGGGAGATTTTTTTTTTTTTTTTTTTGAGATATATACAAGAGTTGTTACATTCTTGTACAGCCATTAGTACGAGTAGCGTTTCGGGCAGGTCCCTGGAATACGATCCCCGCCGCGAAGAATCGTTTTTACAACCAAGTACCCATTTTACTGTCGAGTTAAATAGAGACTACAGTTAAGGATTTGCGCCCAGTAAATCCTCCCCGGCCAGGATATGAACCCATGACAAAATGCTCGCAGAACACCAGGCGAGTGTCTTACCATTACACCACGGAGACTATTGAAGCGCCACACTCACGGTGGACCCGTACGTGTATGAACAAACTCCGAAAACCGAGGCAAACAATGAGTACCGAATCAATTTTTTTTGAGAAATTGAGTACGAGTACCGAAAAATACGAGAACAGGGGCATACGAAAACCGAGGTTAAACTGTACAGTTATTTAAAGATTTATGTCTTGGGATGACAAATGAAAATCTTTTGATCCAAGTTTACATCAGATCAAATTTCTTGCAATTAAAAATTAATTGCAAGAACTGGCTTCTTATTACTGATTTCTTTAGAGGGCACTTTGATAAAGTATCATAACCAAACATTTCAATCATCTTTGAAATTTAAAATGTAAAAGAGCACCAGCAATACAATACTGGTATTTTCCAAGGAATTATGTGCACTCATCTGGCTATGAATGAAGTGAGGCAATTGTTAGAGTACTTGTAATGATAAAAAAAATTGAAGACTGGTTTTCCAAAGTATGTAACCAAATACTGTACACAATTTTATTTCGAACAGTCATATCACTTTCCATACATCAATAATAAGTTATGAAGAATGGATCAATTACAAGGTTCTAATGACTAACTAGTACTGTAATTAGATACTGTATATTGTAAAATATATTACAAGCAAACAATAACTTTAAAATCCTTTACCTGAAATACCAGAGGAGCTTGGAAATTAGACAATTCCAACTGTGCAAATTTTCCTGCAGATGAATGGCCATGGCGCATGAGCCAGGCCTTGAGGGGAGAGACCTTGAGCACCTCTTGCAGGGTGCGGTCACTGTTCCGCATCATATGCAGCATGTTCATTGCCTGCACAGAAACAAAGTCTTTCACTTGTACAGTATTTTCATTAAATATTTTGAAGCTTCCATAGACAGCTCTTGTATGATCTACTCAAGACTAGTATCACCTGCCAGGTTTGCATTATTTTTCTCCACACTGTGACAGGTACTGTCACATGTGTAAGGAGGGGAAGACAAGTGGCAAGTCCAAGTCAAACTATCACCAAAAGTACTAGCCTACCATCAAAGAAATTAATCGACTCAACCTCCAAGTGAAAATTAAATGTACTAACACCACTGATAATTAAATAAACATTTGATTTCAAGTTAAAGAAAGTGGTCATTCAGCTGTACAAATCTCCTGTACAATCCCATTTGGACTATGGTTTACAAGCATGGAGGCCTCGCTTTCAAAAAGACAGTATCAGCTTTGGAAAAAGTTGAGCACAGTGACAAAAATCATCCCAGATCTAAGTAAACTCTCATACCAGGTAAAATTAAGAGCCTCAACACTAACAACACTTTACACTAGACATGACGGGTCTGATCACATTGAGACTTTTTAAATGATAAATGGCAATTTATCTATTATCCCATAATATGCAATATGGTATTGAAAATTACTTTGAGCATTAACACAGACATACCTCTAATGTATAATAATACTACTGTAGCTATCATTATAATTAAATATAAAGTGTGCAGATAAATTGGAAAAACTAATGTAAAATATCTGTAGTGAACAATAAACTAAATACTGTACAGTATCACAGGATGTGTAAGGGGTGCACAAATTAATAACTGCTGGCAACAATAAAATTGATCCCCAACCCAGGAGGGACCATGAAGGACCCAATATGGGGACCCAAACCTAAATATAGCTTGGAAATACACTTGCACAAAAAAGCACAACATTCCCTGCAGAATCTGGCATCGAACCTAATGGCCAGGGCACCAACCCAGCCAACAGGATGACCAAGACAAACAGAACAAATGCCTGGAAAGCACAACTTCCTCATAAATGCGGGTTCTTCTTCTTGAGGTTATCTTGAGATGATTTCGGGGCTTTAGTGTTCCCGTGGCCCGGTCCTCGACCAGGCCTCCACCCCCAGGAAGCCGCCCATGATAGCTGACTAACTTCCAGGTACCTATTTACTACTAAGTAACAGGGGCATCAGGGTGAAAGAAACTCTGCCCATTGTTTCTCACCAGCACCCGGGATCGAACCTGGGACCACAGGATCACGCGTCCAGTGTTCTGTCCGCTCAGCCACCGGCCGAGCTGAGCGGGAAGCTAAATCTTGGACACCAGGGTCTACATCAGTGTCGTTGGGTGCAGGTCTTTATGTTGCTAAGAACTAGGCTTGGTAACAAGTCCAGCACATCCTATTATAATGATAGTAGTATACAGTACTTTTAAAATATTTGGTCGAAAGTACAGTACCATTATGTAGTGATGAACCACTACCATTTTGATATTTTGCTTAACTGAATTTGGCAAAATACAAAACTTTGTTGACAGCAACATAAATATTGAGCTTAACAACTTCTCCCTAGAAATCTTAGGCTTAATATAATACATATAGTATATATACTAGGCCTAGGAATGGTTAAGTTTGGTTTTTAGCTTATTTTTTTCTGGACATTATAAAATTTAAAGTATTAAAGTTGAACTATTTGGTAGTCCATCACTACATATTTGACCAAATAGATGCTAAAGGTGCAATCATTTCAAGATGATGAACTGAATAAATCATACCACCAAATAAAGATGGTTTTATCGTTTAACACTTTCGCGCTTTATATTAGAGATAACTCGTCGCTGTTTTTCTAACAGGGACGAGTTAGCCTACCAACAACAGCCTACTTTTCTCGTCCATCGAAAAAATATTTCTATAAATTCCATTTTTTAACCGAAATGGATGGGGATACTTTTGTTTTGTAGACAATTTATTTGCGAATCTTTTGGTACCAGAATGAATATTATATCACATAAACTTCTATGAGTAAAAAAAAAAATACACAAAGTATGTTTGGGGGTGTGGCGAGCGTGTGGCAGTGGGTTCCCTTTAGCCGTTGATATATCCAACACGTGGGAAATATTTGTATGTGTTATGTATATGTCTGTGTAGGGAATTTTACTGCGATCACTGTCATACAAATTATAAAATGTTTCAACAAGTATAAACATGACAAACATCAAACGAACGAAAACAATGCGTTCGTTTCTGCCGCGAACGCATACTGAGCGACGTGGTTCTATATTTGGCGCTTCTCTTACACATGCTTTGTACAAATGTTATACAGTTCATCTTATAGAAAATTTTATTGCGAACACATTGGTATAAAAAAGAAATACGTACATAGAAAAGTAGGGTCAGGAAACGTATAAACTTTCCAAGCATGATTTCCCCCCTGTGTTTTCGCCAGTGCGCTCGCGGCTAACTACTCTCCACTTCACACACTCTTGCGGGTGGGCAATTACCTATATTAAACATTCATATGCATATGTCCATGTAGAGAATTTTATTGCGATTCCAATGATACCAAAATTAGCGATGTAGGACAACTGTAGGCTTCGCAACCATTAAGAGAGTGGAAACATTTTGTTGCTGTTTGGCGCTCTCGGCGAGTGATCTGCATAGTTTTTTATTTGGTGTTGATACTCCTTATGCTTGGGCGGCATTTTATAGGTATGCTCTTATAGACAATTTCATTGCGAACACAGTGATACCAAATTTAAATACGTGCGCCTTCAATTATTGTCAGGACAGTCAAAAGAGTGTACACTTTTTCGGTCTTACCGCATAGGCGCGCGAAGTGCCGAAAGCATCTGGGGTATTGTTTTTTTTTGAGCGCCGAGAGCGCGAAAGTGTTAATATTCCCTACTAGACCTTCCAACGTCTAATAGATCTCATTTCTTCCCTGAACTTCCCATTGGGCATTAATATTTTATTAACCAACTAATTTAAGTTGTCTCTGAAATACTATAAATATTCAAGATACTTATATGACCTTTAAATTATGTCACTTCCGGGAGATTTCACCCTTCCATTTTCTCTTTCAATGTTTAACAACACAACCAGCCAAACACACACCGAAACTATGATGTTGGTACGACGTTCGAACAAGTTTTAACACCTCCTAACCAGTTATAACAACCAATATAGCAAGTTGTAACAACATTCTAATATGTGAAACACGTTAAGCCAAGATGTAACAACTTTATTACAAGTTGTAACAAGCGGAAAAGAGAGAGATTCTGTTTGTGTTTCCAGGGAAGCTGCTACAAAATTCATTATTTAATGCCAAATTACCATGTACTATATTTTCTACATATGAATGTGTATGTATCACTTCTTTGACAATTTTTGCGTAAGTATATACATACAGTATCTATCTATAAAAGAACTAAAAATATAATAGCTGTACTATGAATCAATACCAGACCAAATTTATCTTAGACTCTAATGTTATCATTACTAACAAGTTCAATAGCTACTCACTGCACTTAGTCAAATAGTCAACAGTCTGCTTTATTTTAATTTGCTGGAAACATCGTATGTCATTGTGAAACTTTTTATATCACTTTATGAACTATTGTCAAGGAATACAATACAGTACTGTACAATACCTTACAGTCAGAGTGACCACAGACAATGACGTGCTTGATGCCATTTATGACACAGCCCAACTCCAGAGCAGCTGGTTCTGTTGTGATCTCTTCATGGCCGCACAAGTTGGCATGAGGCACCAAGTTCCCAGCATTTCGTACTGTACATAGCTTCCAATAATCAGACAACACCAAAAAAGACAATAAATTCCTTCATAATTTAAAACATATAATTGTTCCTCTTCCAATAAATATACATCTCATCACAGTACATTATCTAGTTTAAGTGAGTTAGAATTGCAAAATATATTTTGCTGCCAATCAGCCATAGCTGCTGACCATGGTTAATATAATTAAACATGTTTAATATACCAAATAGCCATGGCTGCTGACGGCGTGAGGGTTACACCAAACAGTCATGGGGCCACCCACAGCATGAAGGGTTAGGTACACCAAGTGGCCATGGTCATTCATAGCATGGGGGTCCTACACATTTTGAAGCAATTATTTGTGTTGAAGGGTTAAAGCCAACATTACAAAATTATTGATGGCAACTTACCAATAAACATGTCGCCAACATTTGTTTGCGTGAATCTTGTGGGAAGCATCCGACTGTCTATGCAGGTGAAGAATACCGCTTTAGGCTGCAATTTTATTCATACAATAAATTCCTGATAAACCAATGGGATTATATTTAATATTAATCCTAACTGATAACTTAGTACAGTAGCATGAATAATATATTATTATTATACAATTGAGGGTTGCCTATAATTTGAGACCTAGTCAAGTATGGTGTATTAAGTTTTGTTAATTCATTTGATACATGCCCAAGGAGCTCTGTGCTATTGCACCATAGACCTATGCTACACAATTTGAACACAGATCTATGGGGTACTACACTTGTTAACAAATATAAATGTAATTGTGTACAAAATGCAGTGATAATTTTGTTTACATCAGTATACCAATAGCACAGCATCTGATGGGCCTGTATCCACATGCCTTAGATTAGGCAGATTCACCTTTCAGACAATTTTCAAATAACACATGAGAAAACACTACATGTTCTTTAATTAATAGGTTAGTCTTCAACAAAACAAAGTTAAAATATGATTACATATCAAAGTGGATTGATGCAGATCTGTTTGATATTTGCCAAACCCAGAAAAGCTTTGTAGTCTGAAGCAGACTTTTTTTTTTTTTTTTTTTTGAGATATATACAAGAGTTGTTACATTCTTGTACAGCCACTAGTACGCGTAGTGTTTCGGGCAGGTCCCTGGAATACGATCCCCTGCCGCGAAGAATCGTTTTTTCATCCAAGTACACATTTTACTGTTGTGTTAAACAGAGGCTACAGTTAAGGAATTGCGCCCAGTAAATCCTCCCCGGCCAGGATACGAACCCATGACATAGCGCTCGTGGAACGCCAGGCGAGTGTCTTACCACTACACCACGGAGACTGTGAAGACAATAGTATACGGAGACAATAGTATATAACCATCTTCTGGGCAAAATCTCAAACTGCACCTACTAACATAAACAAATCTAAATAATAATATTAATAAAACTTACATGTGGGTCATCTCGTACAACTTCAAACTGCTTCACCATGCCCTCTCTCTTTGTGCGTCTGTACTTCATCACACCTTGCAAAATGCGATGCATGCCCATGTTGGCAGGTTATCTTGAGATGGTTTCAGGTAGCAATAATCAGGCCAAGGCTGCGTCAGCAGCACTGCTGGAAGCAGGCAAGAACAATGTGTCAGGAACTCAGATGGTGTCAAATAGGAACAGTAAGTGTGTCAGGAACAATGACGGTGGCAGACAAGAACAGTAAGTGTGTCAGCAAGTAAGGGTGTCAGGAACACAGAGGGTGGCAGACAGGTGTACAGTAGTATCAACGATGTTAAGAGTGGAATTGACACCGTCGGTAGCCTCAGATAGCGTCAGGGAAAGGAAGGCTATCCTGGTGTTGCCTGAGGGTGTCTTCCTGACACTAACAGTCGTGCAACACTTGTCCACCACTAGCACCTCCAGCTGATCATGTTTACTATGTGTGTGTGTGTGTGTGGCCGTCGTACACGCACAGGCAAGGTTGTCGCACCGCAGTCATCATCTTACCTTCACCCACTCTATAATACCCGCTCACTGAAGGACTCATACAGGAGACCGTATTGAATACTTCATCCCTAATTCAATCTTTTTAAAAACACGGTTATCATAAGACAACAATACCGTGGCAATTAAGGTAATTTAAGGAATAAAGTTCAAAAAGAATACACTGACTGGTACAAGGCAACTGCACCCGACTAATCTTACTTTTTAAGGACGAAAGGAAGTGGTAGAAGGAGAAAATTTGTAATAGCCAGAATTTGTCGGATAAAAGTACCCATGAAGATTAGGGATGGAAGCGAATGACAGCTGAGTGGCAGAATCTACGGCAAAAGAGATTTTATGGACGCCGACTCGAATCTATTTAACAAACTGCATGTGTGTGTGCATGTATGTGTATGTGTCTCCCTAAGAGACCCTATAAATATGTGTAGTATACTATATCTTACATTATTTAAGCAAATTTAGATACTGTCACTGAAAGATTCCCCAACTTTGTACCCGATAACATAAGCTTGGGGGGGAAATTTCTGAAGCAGAATTAACAACCCGACCAGCTAGGTTTTTTCCCCTATTTGGGCCTGCTGTATTACAAGCATGGCAGTATATGTTAATTTACAAAATAAGAGACGCTGTCCACTAATTAGTAGTTCGCCAGTAAACTCGCTGGTTACGGCAAAATCAAGAAAATAATAATATAGAAATATATTAATCTGTAAATACACCTATATATCGCTAGTTTTGTTATTTTTATGTATTAATATGTAAATATAATATCTTATTTTACAACAATTATATACAGATATGATATTACAATGTTTCAAAGGCCCCCGTAATCGAATAAAACTATAAAAGACTAATTAAAATCCGGATTATTATTACGAACGCTGCGGATTGTAAATAAATAACGCCACACGTTTCCTGGCTGCTCGTCGGTGACTTTATGGTCATTGTAGCATAATCCTCAATCCTCGGTGCAGTCATCGGGAGGACAAACCCTTCATGTAAACTGCACCTATTATCAAGCAGAAGATAATCCTCACCATAGTAAAGAGATCTCAGAATTGTTTGATTGTATAAAGCTGAGTAGGCCAAAGGCTTACCTTAAGGTTGGTGCCTTAGAAACTACTGCTGGCGTAACTGTCTCCTTGTTCAGGGTCATGAGTGCTTTACAGCAAGTGTCTAGGATTTAGTAGACTGCCTATGAGAGACATTGGTGTCATGTACTGGTCTTCAATGTTTGTTTATTTAACAAGAAGACGAATCACTTTTGGTTAATTTTAACTAATATTTATGACTGATTTACAAATAATGTTTGAGAATTTATACAAATATATACAGACCATATACCAAGGTTTAGTACATACAGAAGAATTTATGTACTAAATCTTGGTACACGCATTCGTCAAGGTTGAACCATGGACTCCTGGTTCCACCTTAGTGATCAGCAGATGTCTGAATGCCTACATTACCTGGGGACCACTAGCCAACATAACTTTTTTTGACCACTGGGTCTTGATACAGTTGTCAGGCATTCCTCATCAATGGCCCAAAAAGATACAATACCCAATGCAATTGTCACCTGGGTCAAAGATGATAAATTTTTAAAACATTTCTGGTCTGATATTTGAGCGGGAAAATGGTGTCCCGCATTGGTTTGGCTGAGAGGTGCAGAGAGTTGGAGGGTATTGGTGTGCTCTTGGTGTGCTTTATCAGAGGTCAATGAAATATTTTTTGCATTCAAAGTAGATTACTGTACTATCTGTGAGTTTTCTAACTACAGTACACTTTTTTTTAATTTTGCAATTGTATATTTTTACTTTCAGGTTCACAATGACAAAAAGTGCTAAAGCAAAGAAAAACAAAAAAGCAGATTTTGCAAAAGTGAAGCTCAAAGTTGGGAAGAAACTGAAGAAAGCTCAAAATGAAACAAAGACTGATTTCAAGGCACGGAAAATCATCATAAAGGAGCAACTGGAAAAAAAGTCTGACCAGAGTCTTCTTACAAAAAAGAAGCATAACATTAAGGTGTGTTGAACCGAAGTATGATATAATACCATCTGCTGGTTGTGCAGATAAAGTAAGAAATTCAAATCTTTATAATTATCAATGATATACTTTATATCACGAAAAATAGGTTTAGCTTTCAGAATACTCTTTAGACAGGTTAAACACATACAGTAACAGTATACATGTGCTCTTAATTGTTGCTCTAATCTTTGTGACACTTTATCATCCTTCTTGTTTTTTACTAAATTGACATATAATTACTGCACAATATTTTCAAGATTTGACAAGATGCCATTCTAATATAAAATCGTATATATATGTTCATCTGTTATTTCTTGCCTGTAATTCCCTTAATACTGTTTTGTAATACAGAATATCAACTGTACCTAGTATCTTATAGTTTTGCCTTCCACTGTACAATAAGTATTCTATACATTTTTGTAAACACTGATATCCTATAGTTTCTGGCTTTCACAAAGACAACATAGCATCTGTAAATGTTACAATATCTTTCTTCAGTTTGATTAGTTTTTCACAAATTTGTTTTGAAGAGCACAACCTGTTACTGTAATGTAACAATAATACAATAATACACTTTTCATTGTTTATCTTTGGATACTTCATTTTAGATATAATAAACAGAATAGATACTGTACATAATGCTGTAGGTATTATACTGTAGGTATTTGTACATAATACTGTAGCACAAATAAAAGTTGTGATTCAACTTGCATGATAAAATAACAAGTTAGCCTTAGAATACATGGCAGAACATATATCATCTTCTTGAGGTTATCTTGAGATGATTTCGGGGCTTTTTAGTGTCCCCGCGGCCCGGTCCTCGACCAGGCCTCCATCCCCAGGAAGCAGCCCGTGACAGCTGACTAACTCCCAGGTACCTATTTACTGCTAGGTAACAGGGGCATTCAGGGTGAAAGAAACTTTGCCCATTTGTTTCTGCCTCGTGCGGGAATCGAACCCGCGCCACAGAATTACGAGTCCTGCGCGCTATCCACCAGGCTACGAGGCCCCCATCATGTATGAAGTTATATACAGTGGAACCTCAGTTTTCGAATGCCCCTGTTCTCAAATTTTTTTATTCTAGAGCTCAATTTCTTTTGAAAATTTGACTAGACACCCATGGTTTGCTTCGGTGTTATAGTTGATACACGTATGGGCCGACCGAGAGCGTGGCATGCTTCAGTTTATCAGTGTCTTCCACCTAGTGACGACCGCGCTAGAATTCTCTGTGAAGAATTTCGTTGCTTTTGTGCTTTTTTGGTTTCTGAACATAAGTTCTTATTATATATCATGCCATTGGTTCAAAGAAAGTCAGTGGTAATATTCAACCTAAGAAAATAGTTAGAAGAATGACGATAGAGGAAAAACAAGAGATCATTCATTGTGTTTTCAAATGCCCCCTGTTCTCAAATTTTTTGGTTCTAGAGCTCAATTTCTTTTGAAAATTTGACTAGACACCCAAGGTTTGCTTCGGTGCTATAGTTGATATATGTATGGGCTGACCGAGAGTGTGGCATGCTTCAGTTAGCCTTAGAATACATGCCCTACAATCTTAGCCCTACTGACAAGTGTTAAAATGTAGGGGAAAAACAAATATCTATAGACAGATTCTTAGTAAGACAAGCCCATTTTAGCAGTCTCCGTGGTGTAGTGGTAAGACACTCGCCTGGCGTTCCGCGAGCGCTATGTCATGGGTTCGTATCCTGGCCGGGGAGGATTTACTGGGCTCAATTCCTTAACTGTAGCCTCTGTTTAACGCAACAGTAAAATGTGTACTTGGATGAAAAAACGATTCTTCGCGGCAGGGGATCGTATTCCAGGGACCTGCCCGAAACGCTACGCGTACTAGTGGCTGTACAAGAATGTAACAACTCTTGTATATATCTCCAAAAAAAAAAAAAAAAAAAAGCAAGCAGTGAACCACAACCAGGTCCTAGTGGTATGCCTGTGAAATGTAAGAGAGAGTGAGTACCCCACAAATGTCATCACTGCTGTTATAATGGAAGGGGACTCCCCTTCCAAACACTTAACACCTCTCCTCCTCCCCCTTCCTTACTGTCTTCAATATGCCAACAAGAGTTCTCAATAAAGGTAAGATATATTTGTACATACTGTATTAAAAATATTAGTAGTAGTATGTATAAAATGTTTTTTAAGTTGATATTTTTGGGGTGTGGAATGGATTAATTCAATTTACATTACAGTACTGTATTTCTTTTGGGAAATTCAATTTGTTTTTTTAATTTTCAATTTTAGAACCGTCTGGGAACGGATTAAATTCGAAAATGAAGGTACCTCTGTATACCTATATCAAGACATATTGGTATGCCTTGAAATATAGGAAATAGGTTTCTGTCTTTCCTGTAGAAATTTTTCGGGAGTAAATTCTGAGGGACAAAAAACTATCCTCTTTACAGTAGTTTATGGAATTCTGTAGGGTTATCATTGTAACTTTATTGACTACAAAATGTAATACTGTATTGTGTTTTTATAGGAATTATTGTCAAGGTTAAGTCATAGCAGTGCTTTTGTACGTCAAGATGGCGTAAATGGGTTGCTGGAGATAGTTAAGAAACATGAGTTGCCGATCCTTGAGCCTAACCTGCCAACAATGATACAAGGACTAGCCCCAGCATTGTTCGACACAGATGCACTCATCAGAACCTCTGCTATCAAATTCATGGAAGTTCTTATCATAAAGGTGAGCAATGATATGGGGAAATTTATGTGATAGGATATTTTGTATAATTATCTGGGAGGGTTATTCATTGGATTCAAAGGCTTACTCTGGGCCTCCAGTTCTTAGCCCAACATGCCATCTATTACTATCCAGGATCCAGAATTATAGTATGGCTCACTCTATCAGCACTCTGAGACAAGGGAAGTAGAGGATCAGAGATAAACCACAAAACTGGGGAAACCTACTAGAATAAGTGCAACAAAAAGGGCAGTTGTTTGAAAGGAAATTAGGCATCCCCTAGGTAAATAATGCAAAAAAAATGTCCTTGGGGTAAATATCCTGATTGAGGTGTCTGACCACCAGATAGCAGTGATGACCAAACAACACATCAAATGGAGAAACGACAACATTTCGGTCCATCTGAAATGGACCATTATTAAGTCGTGTGTGAGGACTCTCACACGACTTGATAATGGTCCAGGACAGAATGAAATGTTGTTTTCTTTATCTTCTGATGTGTGGTTTGGTCATCATATCTTCAGCCATGTTATTGTGACTCATCGTCTGCACCAGATGTATGCACAATGAGATGGTTAGCCCAAGTCACCTGGGGACTTGGCTAGCCTATTCCCTCACTCTTTTGCTTCATGTCATTGGTTCAATTCCTGTCAGCAGCTTGTTTTAGCCAAGTGGTATAGAATTAGCTTTTCCTGGAACATTACATTTTCAAGGGACCATTGTATTTTTATTGTTATTTCTGGTTCATGACCATTTATTCCACACACACATCACATGTCTTCTACCACTACACACAGAAATCACAATAGCGTAATGCATCAAATGAACAAATCCACAAGGGCCGTGATGAGGATTTGAACCTACGTCTGAGATCATCCCAGATGCTGCCTTTATTGACTGAGCTACGACATGGTAAAAAGAGTTGAAATCGAAGTTCTACTGAACTTACTGGATCCTGCAACCTCTCCGAGACAAACCAGGGTTTTACACAACTCCCCCATGCACTCGAGCTGTGTCAATAGACCGTTCTCCCTCTTCGCCCTTACTTCATTACACAGTATACATTACAGTAAGTTCAGTAGAACTTCGGTTTCAACTCTTTTTACCATGTCGTAGCTCAGTCGATAAAGGCAGCATCTGGGATAATCTCGGACGTAGGTTCGAATCCTCGTCACAGCCCTTGTGGATTTGTTCATTGTTTTCTACCATTTCATTTCACTCCCACCATGGCCAGGGTTCTGAGCCCTTCCTAAGGGTTACCTTGTGCATCCCCCTCCCCCCCCCCCTCCCTCTTGATTATTGGCAAGAAAATCCTCTGAATCCCAGCTAACTATGATCACTTCTCATTAATAGGCTTCACAGTAGGGTTCAAAGACACACATGCTACTCAACCCATCCTCAGACCAAGTCCATTCCATCCAGCAGTCGACCCCAAAGACACATTCATAAATTTTAACATGCTGTTCATTCAAAATAGGAATTTTCTCAAATATAAATTATATTATTTTATATTAGCATATTATGCATTTCTAGGCATTGGTTAGGTGTCTAGGTTCCATTGGCGATTATTTGTATTTGTAGTACGTGGGTGAAGCATTTACAGCGGTGTGACCTATTCGTATGAGTGAAGGTTCATACACTGAGGATGACAAAGAAATTAGTGAAATCCTAATGTCCACGGTTTGTGTTACATCTTTCATTTTGGTATCAAATTGTGCACACTTTAAAGGCGCTTTTTTTTTAAAGTATCCCGAAGTCGATCGGATAAAAAATGAATTTTGTACAAATATTTTTGTAATAGACGCTGTCCACGGCTAAGACTCGAAAGAAAAAAGGAGGATGTGATCGGTGTCCAAAGCAAGCAATAGTGTTAATAAAGTTTTTGACTGGGCAATAGAAAATAGCATGATGTTTAACAATGATAAATTCCAGGTACTCGGGTATGGTAAAAATGAGGACCTTAAACATAATACAGGGTACAGAACACAATCAAATCTGCCCATAGTAGGAAAGCAGCATGTAAAGGATTTAGGAATAATGATGTCTGATGACCTAAAGTTAAGGAGCATAACCAAGCAAATATTGCGTCGGCCAGAATAATGATAGGATGGATTATGAGAACGTTCAAATCCAGGGATCCCATCACAATGGTTGTACTACTCAAATCACTTGTACTGTCCCTTTTTGAGTACTGCTCAGCACTTCCCCCTTCAAAGCAGGAGAGATTGCTAAAATAGAGGGGAATACAGAGAACATATACGGCATACATAGACGCGATAAAGCACCTAAACTATTGGGATCATCTTGAAGCTCTCCAAATGTACTCGCTAGAAAGGAGACAAGAGATATATCAAATAATATACACGAGGAAAATACTGGAGGGCCAAGTACCAAATCTACATAATAAAATAACATACTGGAGTGAATGATATGGAAGAAAATGCAGAATAGAACCAGTGAAGAGCAAGGGTCCCATAGGCACAATCAAAGAACACTGCATAAACATCACAGGTCCACAGTTGTTCAAGATTCTCCCAGCAAGTACTGTATAAGAAATATTGCCGGAACAACCGTGAACATCTTTAAGAGAAAACTAGATAATTTTCTTCAAGAAGTACTGTACCAACTGGGTTGTGGTGGATATGTGGGCCTGCGGGCTGCTCCAAGCAACAGTCTGTTGAACCAAGCTCTCATAAGTTGAGTGGCAGGTTCATGGAATGGCCTTCGGCCTTTCTTTATGAGGATGGGCTGCACTACTCCTCAGTTTGTAGAGTGGGAAACCTGAACTCCTTAGAGAAGATAGCTCATCTAGAGCATCTCCCTGGAAGGGAGATGCATGCTATCTACCAGGAATGATAACCCTGACAAACAGCTCGAACAAAATGTAATGACAGGGCACATTCAAAGCAGGTGGCATGAAACACAAATTTGAAGCAGGAAATAGAATAAAAGCAGAGCAATGGCCCTGTGTAGAACAAAACTTTCCACAGATAGCCAACACCACTTATGTGAGAGTATGAGGTGGAGAGGTGTGACTCTGCAGTAGGGAAGTGAATGAAATGGTTTGCTTGCAGGGACCTCGAGTGACCTGGGCTGACGTCTGACCTTGCAGTCGGGTATAATATGGCTGGGGTAGGTACAGCAAGGTAATTATTAGGAAAAGTGTTAAGCCAGGACAACTGGGGTGTTTACCTCATGACAGTGATTGTTTGACCTGATTTCATCAGGGCAATTAATGTCCTTTCAAACAAGTGTTAATTTTGATGCACTTATACTTAGTTTTTCTTTGTTTTGGGTTTTCTTTGATCCCCCAAGGTTCTTTCACCTCACAGCTAGAGAGAACCATATTCTGGTCCTGGTAGACTCAGATAAGTCTTGGAGGCCTAGTGTGATTCACTATGGCTTAGCAAGCCAAGTGCTATAGCTTGGGGAACTACCGAGAGGGCTTTTATAGAAAGTTACATATAATATGATTCTTATGCCTGGAAAGGTTACTTTATCAGTTGTATATATATGTATGTATGTGTGGGTGTTTACCTTCCTCCTTATGTGGTCCCAAGAGGGGGATAAATATTTGAATTGTATGTTAGTGTTCATCTTGTGTTCTACAGGTGGGGTCCAATATTGCACCATACTTCAACATAATTGCAACCCACTTGTCTTGTGCTATGGTTCACCTCAACATCAGTGTACAGGGAGACTCACTCAAACTGATGAAGGTGCTCATCAAGCACACTCCTGCCCTTATTGCCTCCCATGCAAATACGCTGCTCAAGAACTTTGTTGACCTCATCTCCAGAAAGGTATGTAACAGTTTTACGTTATTTCTATCCTGTTCTCTGTTTAATGCTTGATCTCTTGAGTTTCTGTGTGGGTTATTATAAAGGTAGCATAACATGAGAGGCATCATTATCCATGAAATGGTTTCTCCACTGTCAAAGACAGGAAGCCTATTAGGCTTATTGAGCTATCCTTAGGCCAAATGCTGACCTTCCACAAGATACAACCCACATTGTATAAGCCTGACTTCCAGCTACAGTACCTATTTACTGCTAGGTAAGCATAGACATCAGGTAAAAGAAAACATGCCCACATGTGTCTGTACTGTACTGTCAGGGGAATTGAAGCATTGTGAAACACAAGGGGATGGGCATCGTGAAACGTGAGGGGATGGGCATCATGAAGCATGAGGTGAGGGGTAATGCTCAGTAAGCATGACAAAGAAAATGTAGCATTAGTCAGAAATAATACTGGTTGGATTATGAGAACCTTCAAATCCAGGGATCCCATCACAATGCTCCTATTTAATTCATTTGTGGTTTTCCACTTTGAGTACTCCTTGACACTTGCTTGCCTTTTCAAAGCAGGAGATATCTCTGAAATAGAGGGAATACAGGGAACACATTTACAGTACTGTATGGTACATTTGGATATTTTTTGATAAAACACCAGAATTACAGTATTGGAACCATCTCGAAGCTCTCAAAATGTACTCTCTAGAAAGGAGACTAGGGAAATATCATGTATTATGTACATAGAAGATACTGGTAGGATAAGCACAATAAAAAAAAAATATACGGAGTGAACAATTTGGTAGGAAATGCTGAATAGACCCAGTGAAGAATAGAGGTGCCATAGGCACAATCGGAGAGCACTGTATGAACATAAGAGGGCTACAGCAATTCAATATCATCCCAACAAACCAGAAATATTAGCAGAATTAAAGTGGACATGTTGATGACAAAATTTAAAAAGTTTGTGAAAAAATGCCAAACCAAAAGGGTTGTAGTGGATATAAAGACCTGTGGACAGCCTAAAGCAACAGCCTGTTGGACCAAGTTATCAAATATCAAGCCTGGCCCCAGGCTGGATTGTGAAGTAGGACTCCCAGAACCCACTTGAGTAAGTAAGAGGCGAGGGGCATCGTCAGGCATGAGGCGAGGGGCATCACAAGGCATGAGGCGAGGGGCATCGTCAGGCATGAGGCGAGGGGCATCACAAGGCACGAGAAGTGTGGCAAAGAGCAGTTCGAAGCACAAAGGAGGAGGCAACATTCTCGTCCTTCTCATATGAGAAGAAAGGCATCATGAGGCATGAGGCGAGTTATGATGATTGCCATTTTATTTTGTAATTTAGCAAAAAACCAGCGTTGAATGTAATGAAATGCCATTTTCTGGGCAAGTCCTGGAGGCTTCCCGGAGCTATCCAGGCTGAATGGATATGTATAGCTTTCTGGCATCCGTCAAAGTGCTTGGAGTTCTTGCCTACTGGGGACCACGAGCCAGAATCTGGCCCCCCTCAGAGAGGCACGAGGAGCAATGGCCTATGAAAACCTCCCTGTGGTTGGGAGTATTCTATGTCTGCCATCGACCGGGACAGACACTCAGAAAGATAGGCACCCCAAAACAAACCCCTATTCTGGTGAAATATTGCTGCCGAACGAGTGGACAGACCCCCCCCCCCCAAATAAAATTATCAAACTAGCATGATGTCATCATGTCGCTGTGCCTCCGTCTGCGCAACCCCCCCCCCCCCTACCCGGCAGGGGGGAGGGGGAGCCCCAGACAATCTGTGCCGGTGATCCAACCGGTGATCCAACTGGCAGTTCTTATACTGTATGTCAAAATACGAGAAAAATACTGCCAACTGGAGGGAGTGAGAGATGGCGAGGAGCTTCCGGGACTCGCCCAGAAAATAGCGTTTCATTACATTCAATGCTGATTTTCTGGGGAGAGCCCCGTTGGCTTCCCGGAGCTACCTCGCCACAGATAAGGAAAAGAGGGAAGGATCCAGGAGGTGGACGCTATGCACCCGAACCAAAAAAACAAAATCACAGACAAAACTAAAGACCCTGCAGACCCGAACCCAAGAACAGAAATGAGGGAAGGGAGGGAACCCGGTCAAACCAATACACGTCCACGACCCCAGAGGCCAAGACGTGCAGAGAACAGCGAAGAACCGCAACCGAATAACAAAGGAAGCACCCCTGACCAACCAAGCAGCAACCCAAGGAACAAAACGAGGAGAAGAAAGAAAATAAACCACCCAGGCCAACAACTAGGACGGCACCGGAAATGCAAGAGCAGGCCAGAGGGAAAACAATACCCAAGACAGCAAGCGGAACGAAGCAGAAGTTACAGCAACACCGAACGCAAGCTGGAGCGGCTCCGCCAGCACCATCCAAGACAAGGCGACAGTACACGGTATCTGACGACAATCCTGGAACGACAACCCCTAAGGTAAAGACAAGCCAACCCTATCAGAGACTGAAGGACCCTACGCAGTGATAGGAAAACTGGAAGGACCACCAGGAAAACTACGCACCGCCACCGAGATGAAGCATGCAGGTGGGAAACCAACAACGAAGTCACCAGTGCCCACACAAGTGATGAGAAACTAGACAAAAACCCGAGATGCGAAGACTCGAGGGGAAGAACGAACCAGTGTGGACTGATCTGCAAAAAGAGGGGGAGACCAGCAGGACTGGAACAGAGTAAAGCAGCAGCTCCTGCCAAGGCAGGCAAAAACCAGAAGGAACGGCCGCCAGAGAAACCAGGAACCCAACCCCAGCGAGCTGAAAAGGAACCAACCCAGGCGAGCAGACACGCCCCATCCGGTAAGAACCTCCCAGGACCCTTGAAGGACCAACAAGGCCAAACACCGAGGAGCCAGGGCCCAGGCAGAGGCCAATGAGGAAAACGAGCACCACGAACGAAAGCGCGAGACGCGAAGCGAAAAACGGCAACCCCGCAACCCAAAGGAGCAGCGCAACCAGCTCCAGCAGGGACAGGAAAGAACGACTCATCCATTCCCGAGGCATACATGAGTAGAAATACGCAGGACATGAACTGCATGAAAACAAAAATGCGCTCCGGAAAAGGAACAAAGAAAAGCCAGAGCCAGGACCGGAATCCCAGCTAGCCGTCCCAAGAAAAAGAATCAGTAGGGCAGGAGCAGTGGACCGGAAGTCCACAACCCCCCACAGACAGTGCAACACAGAAGCCTGCAGCGAGATACAAAGAAAAAGTGAAAAAACTCGGTACCAAAACTGAACACCGGGTTAATCCAAAAGCAGGGAACTGAACATGGACAGTCCCATCCCAGCACCCAACATCAGTATAGCCAATAAGCACCAACCCAGATACACAGCCATGTGTACCAGAGGAGGAGGAAAAATGGAAACAGGCAACGAAAACTCCGAATACGGACCAAGTAGCAGCTGGTAACGCAATGCACACGACCAACCGCAAAGTGTGTAGTGGAGGTCGCACATACACAGAGGGACACATGAATATCAGGGTGCAGCCAGGCACCAAAGATAGGCAAGGAAGGAGTGTCCAGAGAGCAGAGACCAAGCAAGGAAGGGGAGACACAGAAGCAGGAAACGAAAGGAGTGTCCAAATATAGGAAAAAGACCCAGGTGCCGAAAAACTAAACAAAGGCACCAAAATGCGGGGCAGCGTCCCACAGGACAACGAAGAACAAGATACATGGACAAAGAAAGTCACTGAAGACCCACGCAAGGTGTCCAAGCAAGACACAACGTCTAACAACCTGGTTAGGAACCATTGACAACCCTGCCAAGTGGGGAAGTGACCGAGTAATGAACAAGGGTGGTACACGCACAAGGGGACACAGGAGGAAGCTGAGTACCCAAATGAGCCACAGACATTAAAAAGAACCTGATCAATGTCAGAGGAGATAGAATGCACTAGGAAGCGATGTGGTGGAAGCAGACTCCACACACAGTTGCAAATGTAGAGAAGATATGAGCCCAGTAGGCTCGGGAAACTGCACACCCGTCGACCAACAGTTGAGAGGTGGGACCAAAGAGCCAGAGCTCAACCCCTGCAAGCACAACTAGGCAAGTACCCCACCAAAAGTCGAGAACCAGCACCTGGCCGACAGAGTTGCCAGACAGTACAATCTTATCTGCAGAGCGGAGACACGACCATGCCACAACACAGTCGAGCCGAGGAACATACCTGAAGAATCGCCGGTGGTTTGACCGATATAGGCATACATTGCCTATACCCTCTAGTACGCCAAGCGTACTAGAGGTTATAGGCAATGTATGTACTCTTTCCGGAATATAAAGTTGAATTCGAAGTCGAAATAAGTCCAGAGGTGTGTGCCCAGCAGAAGACGAGGTGCAGTACAGTGGTGGAGGTGGTGCCACTCTAAGCCACCCCACACCCGGAAGCAGAGAAAAGAACGAAGTGACGTCCCACGTATAAAATCCAGAACACCCCCCAGCATCTAGAGGGCTATGACTGGAGAGAGAAGACGAGCGAGAAGCCGTAGAAAACCGCGATAAACGACGCAGAACACGAGTACACCGCCCAGACACAAAATGAACACCCAGCCCCAGTGCGCGAGGTACGAACCGCACCACCCGTCGTCTACTGGGTGGCGTGGCTCGTACACCAGTCAGACATACACTTATCGTACATACACCAGCAAGGCGTACGTAACGAATACGAGGAACGTCAAAACAGGAAGTAGAGATGAGGTGAAAACAAAATAAGGTGAAACAGAAGCAAAAGAAGACAAGGAGGACGGAAGGGGACCAACGAATCTGAAAAAGGACCAGAAGGAAACCTCACAGGAAGTCAAGAGATGTTCCAATAATATTGGAAGGTACGAAGAGGGTCGTGAACCAATGAGAACCATGACAAGCAAGCACAAATGCACGGAGGCATATATGGACAAAAAGACATCCCCGTTCAAGGGACATGCAGGGATCCTTATACAAAGAGAACAGTATCGAGACGTAAGCGCGAAAAGGGGGTGAAACACACCCCCAGGAATGATGGGACCGATGGACTCGAAGGGACATGGAACCGAACCCAGGGAGGTGTAGACCAGAAACCGACACGAATGCAAAGGAGGGAAGGAAAAACCCCACTCTGAGGAACTGCAAGCCCTGCACCAAGGGTAACAAAGACCCAAGTGGGGCAAAACGAAGCCGAGGCTCCCAGGCATCCCCTCCCCAACCCCGGGAACCTTTACAGCAGGACCCGGGGCCGAGCCATACCCCCAAAGCCCCAGCCTCACAAAAAAAGACAGGGCAGCCGTACAAAACACTAAGGAAGGGAGCCCACTGGTTAGATCCATACTGCATGGCTGGAGGAACAGGCTCGAATGCCTCTGCGCCACCCTGGAAGAGGAAAATCCCCGAGGCCGCCAGTCTCAAATTAGCCAGACCCAGCTCCAACCCCGAAACCCGCCTACGGTTCGGAGCCGGAAGCAAGGGAAGGAAGTATGCACAACAGAAGGGGAAGGACTAGAACTAGAACTGAAACAAAACTGGAGCCAGAGGCACTCGACCGGCCAGTAATTACATCAGCCAAGAACTGCCGGTTGGATCGCCGCCGCGGATGGTCTGGGGCTCCCCCTTCCCCCCTGAGGAGGTGGGGAGGGGGGGTTGCACAGACGGCGGCGTGGGGACATGATGACATCATGTCAGTTTGATAATTATATTTGGGGGGTTCTGTTCACTCGTTCGGCTTTCGGTAGCAATATTTCACCACAATAGTGGTTTGTTTTGGGGCGACAGGGACAGGCTACCTTTGTGGGTACCTGTCCCGGTTGATGGCAGACATAGAATGCCCCCAACCACAGGAGGGTTTCTATAGGCTATTGCTCCTCGTGCCTTTTAGAGGGGGCCAGATTCTGGCCCGTGGTCCCCAGTAGGCAAGAACTCCAAGCACTTTAACTGATGGAAGAAAGTTATACATATCCATTCAGCATAGATAGCTCCAGGGAGCCGACAGGGCTCCCCCAGAAAGTTTTTATAACAATCATTGGTATGATGTAGAGATATTGTTAATTATGTTGTTTGAGCCAAACATTGATGTTACCATCAGCATTATAAACCTGCTTGTACCACCATTAACACATAATAGTATCACCAGTGCACTGATAATTTTTTTACATGTGGTATTATACTCAACTATAATAAGAGTATACAGTAGTGTTAATGCAACCGTCAGTGAAACGTTGATCAAAATATTTTACTTTACAGGCTTGCAGCACACAGATGACTCCTGAAAGGACACCAAACATGGTGGACTTTTCTCGCATTTTACATGTCAATCCTAGCAACAATTTAACGGGTCACAGATGGCGGCTACAGTTACTGCAGGAGCTATCCAACTTCTTAGAGGCTATTCTCCGGGCGCAGAGACATATTGAAGAGCAATTGCCAGTCACCATCTGGCAGGTGAGTTGCCAGAACTTGTGCCATACTCCTGCACATACTGAACCTTATAATAATAATAATAATAATAATAATAATAATAATAATAATAATAATAATTTTATTTGCAAGACGGTACAGTGAGTTGGTGAGATTACATAAGATTGGTATTTTTACATTCATGCAAAGCCACTAACACATATAGCATTTTGGGCAGGTTCTTAATCTAACATATCAGATAAGATGAAAAGGTACATTGTGCTTACACTGGTAAGGATATATGTCTTAAGTACTAATATTGGGGGAGGTGGGTACTCTAGTACAAGATACAGTGAGAGTTTGAAGGACAAGGTAGGAAACTATGAGGATGAAATTAGACACTTTTTGGTTTTACTTTTGAACAGGACATGGGTTGGATAATTTTTTAATTCCTCAGGGAGTGAGTTCCAAAGACTGGGCCCTTTTATTTGCATGGAGTGTTTGTACCCTGTATATGCATCTTAATTAATACAAATCAAGGGGTTCACTCTTATAATAATAAAAATGTTCTTGGTGTGAATTTCAGAAACATTTAACTTGTTTTATAATCTTTCAGTTCTCATAGACACTGTTTTAAAAACCCTTGAAGCACTCACAAATGATTAATTAGACTGCAATTTTCCTTGCAGACCATTGTGGTTGGGAGCGTGCCACCAGTGGAGTGTGGAGACGCGACATGGAAGGCTGCACAGGATGCTTGGCTCTTCTCTCACCCGGAACAGCTGAAGCAATTCTCTCTCTCCATTATTCCTCTGCTCTTTCAAATTTGGGCAGAAGTTGAACCTGAAGGAAATGATGATTATGCAGGTTAGACAGGGACTCTGTTGTTGTTGTTGTTAACTTGTGCAAGGTTTGGAGAAATGCTGGCACCTGGCACATGTCTTAGGCTGCAGTTTTGATTGATGGTCAAGCTTAATCATTTTCACATGTGGTATTCTAATTAGAAAAGTTAGCTCGTAGCTCTTTGAAGATTATGTGCTAGCAGCAGAAATACCTGTTGTTCTAGAATGTCCTTTAGGACAAGAACCTAATTACAATACATATAAAAAAGCTTTGCAGTGGAGAATTTGAGACCATGTGGTGAAATATGGTTGACATATATTTATGTTCTTATTTAAGGCTTCCCACCTATTTAGAAAATGTTTCCATCAAATCATAATGATGCAATATGTATTTTAGAGGGCTAGCTACTTTAGCCAGATTCCATTCATACATTTTGCTGTTGACTAGTAAAGTGCAGTACTGTGCTATAAAAATAAATCCGTACAGCCATCTAAAATACATTTGATTTATACTAGATGTTTGAAGTTAATATTTTTTCTAAATTTTCCTATACAATATTTTAAAGAATTAAGTATTCCAGTTGCTTCCCTAGCCAAGGCCATGTGTCCATTCTGGATGCTGGCCACATGGCAGGCTATAATCAAATTTAAACCACACGGTGATGAGGAACTTTGCAAAGGGTTTGCTGTATTGTTTAGGGGCAGTGTGATCATCTTTGACCATGTGCTTCCCTGCTACGGAGATGGGCAACAAGAAATGCCCTTGTTCCCAATAAGTAAAGAATCTCCCGGATGCCTGGTGTTGGCTAGTCAAGCCAGTAATAGTGGAAGTATTGAGGTGGTGCCCAAATAGGAACATTTCATTACACTACATTCTTGCTTATGACAATTATTTTCTTGGTATGATTCATTACTAAGCAGTTTATTGATTTCTAGGTGGAAATGCCTTGAGTGAGGAAGGTGTGGCCACTCTTAGCTGTATTATAAGAATCATTACACAGCTCTGGCACATCACGCAGGCTTGCATGAATCACCACCCTTCACAGGTGAGTCTTACAATATGTGTACTGCTTTATTCTCTCTCCAAGAAAAGTTTTGAATGAAATAATGTAATAAAATTTATGAATAAGAAAAGTTATTTCAGGCACTTTGAACTTGAATGAGTTTCCATCTTTCTTTATTTAAATATCAATAAAAAGAATGGAGTCATTTCTCAAGCTCATAATGTACAGGCAACCTGTTAACAAAAACACTTTCATTCACTTACATATTTGTAATGATAAAACAAAATCAGGAAGTGGGGTTTTACTTTTTCTCATGACTTTTGGGATTTGTAGCCGGTAGTTCCTCAAAGACAATTGCCCAGTACTGTATATATTAGATTCCTTCTTAATTCTTAAATGCCCTGAATCATTAAAGAAAACGTTAAAATAGTATATACTGTATATTATCTGCAGCCATCAAATGCTACAATGCCATTGAACAGAATCATGGAATATTCAGCACTGCCATCCCCACTTGCTAAATTAATACTTGAAAATACAATCTATGGCATACATAATCCCTCGCCTCCCTGACCTCATGTTCATAATCCATCCCAGTTGTTTTACCTTTATCAACACTATTCCTGTGTATTTCTAGTTAGATTTGGTAAAGCACTTGCAAGCAAAATGTTATCTCCTTCTAAAGCCTACTCTTAACTTCATGGTTTCTCTAAATCATTCCATGCACTTTATGCTCTTTCAGTTTTTACAATTATGAGTGTCCTTTATGCCTTGCAGTGCACGTGGTTTATGGCTGAGTTGAAATCCAAATACATGCTTAATATTATGTCTGGATTCCCTTATTACTGCCATCTGACACCAGTTCAAAAGAAGAAGAAACTCAAGTGAGTACAGTATAGATTATGTAGTACAGTAATGGCTGGTCTACAAAACATTATTTGCTTTACAGGGGCATATTTGCATAAAGGTTTAGGTTTAAAATAGTATGAAGTACATAATTCATGAATAATCCCGTGAATAATTTAGCATTCATTTTGGGTTAACACGGTAATGTAGTGTGTGTCAAGGTGATAGGAAAATAAAATTGTATAGCAGGTAACAATTGAACTTGACCAGACCACACACTAGAAGGTGAAGAGATGACGACGTTTGGGTCCGTCCTTGACTATTCTCAAGTCGATTGTGACGATTGTCGGTCGTCAACATATTTCAGCCACGTTATTGTGTCTCGTCTGCAATTGAACTTTGTGCCTTCAAGGTGTTCACCATATGATTTTTGAGTATATATATAATTCATTGTGTTGGGGGACAGGAAGCCAGAGTGTATTCATACACATTTGGGTTTTATCAAGGTTCCCCCCTCCCCCCAGGTCGAATTACTGATCCCACTCAGGATGTAACCCCACAACAAGTTGACTAACTCCTGAGTACCTACTCACTGCTAGGTGAACAGAGGCATTAGGTGAAAGGACATGTGCCCAACCATTTCTGTCCCGCCCGGGATTTGAACCTAGAATTCTCAATTTTGCATTGAGAATGAACCCAACTGTACTACTGGGACTAATACAAGTTATATTACGGTGTTGTTTCCTGGTACAGTATTGTTAGTGTTTTTATGTATGCTGTACAAGCAAATTGTAGACTGAATGCAGCAGGATAATCCATCTGCCAATATTATATATTTATCATTTCTAACTGGCCTGCAATTTACAACATGCAAGCAAGCCAGTGTTAGTAATACATTCTCTCTAGTTTTGATACTTGCTCCATGGATATAAAAAAAATTCTGATACCCGGTAAGTAAAAATTTGGTTAACACTTTTCCTTGCATTAAATGTTTAGAGTTGAATTATGGTAAAACTTTTACTTAAAAATTATAGCATTAGGAAATTTAAATTTTGATAATAAAATTTGATTTAAGGTAAATTAAACTTGTATACAGTATATGCCAAATGCTGTGATTTGCACATCACTAGTCATATACAAAGCACTATTGGGTCTAGCCAGTAATTGGATGGGTGACTGTGTCAAGTCCCTGGCAAGGGTCAAGTTGACATTCAGAGTGCTCTCGGTCCCCCCCTAAGAAATTACCCCAAACCACACACGTGCTCTAATTTTTACATTATTTTTATCAACAGAACAACAGAAAGGACATTGCAAACTGAAGCAGAGGACAATTTACAACACTGTGATGATCTTAATGTGTCCCTAGCTGTTTTTGCTATGCAGATATCGTCCTCTGAAGACTTTTCAGAGAAGGCGGTGAATTTCCTTGCAAGTGAGTGATTTTCTTAGTCATTGTTTCAGCGAAGTCATTTGACGAGTGAAAAGTATTCTCATTTACCTTTTGCATAAACCAATCCCTGGAACTTTACAACATTCTTGAAGCTCTTGCCTTCTAGATGTACCTAGCTAAAATGTTTAGGAATTGAGCAACTATGAATAAAGGCAATTTTAATTCTGGCCATTTTGAATGAATGGCTCATTCAATTGCTTCCCCAGTCCTGATACTGCAAAGCCCAAGCATCCAATCCTTCCTCTCAAATAATACATCACATATTGATGCCAAAATCCTCAATCGACAAATAACATGTATTTAAACCATGTTATACAATATTTTTGTATAACATGTAACCATGTTATACAAAATATTGTATAACATGGTTATCTTGAAATGATTTCGGGGCTGTTTAGTGTCCCCGCGTACTGTAATATAAATCATAGCTTGGGAATAGTCACATTTTCTATGTGTGGGTTGGTAGGTTAGGGTTGGTTAGGTTAGGTTTATGCATTTTAGTACATCATTTAAAGTCCATTGTGGCAATGCTAGGAGACAGGCTGAGGCATTGTCAGGCCTCTTGAGATAAGGTAAAGGGAAACTTGGAGATTAAAGATTGACCCAAAACTGAGAAAACCAACCAGAAAGTCGGATGAAACAAAACAAACCACTGGTTCAAAGAAAGAAATGAAAATGAGGCAAACATTTAAAAACCTTCTCTGGTTAAGCTCGTGTTCCTATTTATTGAAGCCATCCTCCACTACCCGAGGTGCCATTGGGAGTAAGCCCCAGGGAACTATTGAGGGTCTTCCCAGAAGTCAAGTATTATACAGTACAGTACACTTAAAAAAATAATCCTAGCGAATTTTTTTTCAAATTTAAAGATTTGCTCATCCTCCACTTGGGTTATCACAGTTTGAAGTATGTTTTGCAGGTGGTCCTTCCCCAGGTTCTAAGGGTTTCTTTGTGTTTATGTGCACTTATACATCAGCATTCTTGATGACATTAATTTTCAGTTGTCAAATGGGTGAGGTTCATGCTCTTCTGAGGCAGTGGTAGTCATGTATCTTTGATCCTGGGAATTGTTTTCTGCAGTTGCAGACTACTACTTTCCTAGTTTAAAAAGTATCCAACTGTTTGCAGAGGTCCACTTATGAGTTTTGCATAGTTTGTGTGTCTTATAAATTGCATACTCTGTCTGGTAGATGCAGTGTATCGCTATCTTCTTATACCCCTTACATCTTCATTACCTGCTTGAAGGCTAGACTCCCCCAGATCATCTGGATCTGTTAAGTGATATCAAAATTGTACTCCAGAGCCTATGATTTAAAGAAATGTGCAGCCTAGACATAATTTTTCTTAAGCAAGTCGACAGCTAATATCAGAACTCAAGGCTTCTGGAATTGAAATAACATTGTTATTCAGCATCTTCATGCCATACCTCACCCTTGATGCTGGTGAGGTATGGCAGGAAGCCAGGAAGGTCTCGAACATTCATCTTGTTTTAAAAAAGTCCTGCAGCCCTGTGGTTGACTTTCTGGGTAAATTTGCTGTTTTATATTTCCCTTTGTGTGCCTAATTTCTTAGTTTTTCCACGTGACATAATGGGATAAAAATGTCTTCTCATCGATGATTCACAGGGAGAAAGCAAGAGACCTACTGCGAATTACAGCACTGAATATAACTAAATGAATCTATGAAGTTTTCGGTAGTTTTCCTTGGATCGACCCTCGTTTCCCTCCTTTCTCAAACTAGTTTCTTTTTTAGAGTAAGCTCAAAAGTGGAGAGTTGAGCTCACAGGCAGTCCAAGTGTGTGAGGAACTTGGCAAGGAGTGAGGTTACAGATTAAGTGGGGTTCGATAGTCAGCATTTTGGTGTTTTCTGAGTTTAGCAATTTATTAAATTCCAAGTTTTTTGGTAGGTTGTTGTGTTTTGTAACTTGTATTATTGTGTACAGTTTGCCTCAATATTGGTTATGAGTTGTTCTTTGACATGTTGAATGTGGCTACTGTATGGCTACATTCAACATGTGGTCAGTGCTAAAAGGTCAGGAGAGCCACTCTGGACTGCCCTGCAGAAAGAGGCACTTCATTACACTCAATGCTGCACTCTTTGAGATCCTTTAAAAGACATTTTTGCATGCTGTTTACAGTACTGTACTTGGAACACAAGGCATCTGAGACTTCATCTACTAATAGACACTCATCTGTTCAAAGTTCTTGACTAAGGGTTAAAGCTTATTCACTGGGGCCTCATTAGGTTCCCATAGTTGATGGGACTCCATCAGAGGCTACTGTAAACCCATTCCTCTAATTATTATTATTGAAGGTAACAAAGTTAGTTCATTGTAGTGCTCTTGGAAAAAAGTTATAGTGTGACTGTTGGGTTACAGGACTGCTTCGTGATGGAAATCGTGATGGACGGTACAATTTGGGTGCTGTAGTGAATATTTTGTTAGATCTACTTCAAGTAGCCCCTGAAAAACAAGCTGAAAGTCTACTTAATGCTGCTCAGACTTGCTATGCTCGTCTGCATCCACTCAAGAAGGACCGTGCTCTCTTACTTCAGATTCTTCTTGCTGCCACCGACCTTGACCATCCTCAACTCTGGAAGTAAGAAATGACTAGATTTTGTATTTATATTCAAAGATGTATCTTTTGTTTATAAAAGCATCTTTGTGGTTGAGATTTATGTAATTTATATTTTGATTTCTAAATTGATTGGATACCATATTTATAACCAGTTTAACTACTTAACTACGCCAGCTGAGTATTCTCGGTCGGTGGGAAACTGCGCCGAGAACTCTTTTTTTTATTTTTCCGTACCCATTCTAAATGTTTGCGAGGTTGGTTGTGTATGAAATAGACTCTTAGGACCTCCAGTGAGAGGCAGCCATCTTGGAAAAAATTCCCAGAATGCCCTAGGGCTGCTGGCTGGGTTAGTACTGAATGAGCAACCATGGGTGGCGCACGTGCCTCTGGCTCCCAAACACCTGTCCGACGCAGTTTTGAAAGATAATGCTTTGTCCGTGAAATTCAAACCATATTGTTTGAAGAACATAAGGGTCATAATATTGGTGAAGCTAGAGGCCTTAAGGACCTAACACAAAGGTTTTGTATCACATGCAAGTGATACAGCACCTATGAGGATGATACAGCGAGCGTATCCAGTTGTACTGTAGCTCTGAGTGTCACCCTTGCAATCCTATGCTATCTCCAATTTATTTAGATGATACATAGATGAATCATTTTCTGCGTTCAGTGATGATGCATCTGATACAAGTAGCATACATGAACAATGTTAGAGGCTTTCATGGTTCTTCATGGTTCTTCCATGGTTAGAGGCTTCATAGATATTTTCAAGAATACCTGAATCTCTTCCTGACTGACGGACACTCTTTCAGGCAAGCTGAATCTCTTCTTGTGTGGGACCACGCAAAGCGATCTTTTCAAGACTACCTTACAAATTGACAAATTGATCTTTTCCTATAATCTTTTCAATATTACCTTATGCTTTACAAGCTTGGCTACATACAACCTACAAGTGCTAAAGCCAAGGGTGTATGTGAGTGCGTTATTTGCAAGCACAGAATGAAGAAACAGGAAGCGAAAAATTATCTCTACCTGGTGCAAGGAGAGCAATGTCGCATTGTGCACCATGGACTACTTCATTGATTATTACTCACTTCTGAAGTACCGAGTGTGTAATACAGTGTGTTACTGAGTAAATAGTGTGTGAAACTGTACATATTGTAATTTTAGTGAATTTTTAACAAGTAATATTGCGACAATAAACATTTATTGTGGACACATTACTGATACATGTATCACAGTTCCATGGAACATTATGAACGTTCTACTGTATACATATTGTAAAGGTCACAAATATGCATCATATATGATTAAAAAACAAATAAAACCGCATTGGTAATACATAGAACAAATAATTGAAAATATATTTGTGGCAACACCCGGTGCTTGAATGGCCCACGCGACCGTGTCTGGGCGAGTCACGCACGGGCGACCAGGCCCTGATGACGTCACAGCGCACCTTGTCCATGTCCCCACAGCCAAAGTGGAATTTGGTATTTATTTTTACATAGGCATGTTCAAGGAAGGGAATTTATCATTTTACAAAGAAAAAAATAATTTTTTGGGAACACTTTATTTCATGCACACCGGGGGAATTTCACAATATACTCAGCGCAGCACGGTGGTTAAGCAATTTATACATTTCTTGTCTTATCTGTGATATAAATTTCTAGGTAATCTCTGAATGACAAAAACATCAATAGTTATCTTGTACATGTGCTTACAGAATTATTGTACAGTATGTGGTGTAGTATATTATTTTGTAGTTTTGCAGAACATCGTTCACCAGTACTAGAAAGTGGGTGGCTGCTGTCACATTAACCTTTTGGTTGATAAAATTTAGAAAATTTCCTTGCCTGAATTTGTTAAAATAGCAACTGTAAAGAAATATGTTATATAAAAAAAGCAGAACAAAACAGAAATAAACAGTGCACCTCAAGCTAACATGTTAGGTTTTATAGAGATGTACACCTTGTGGGTTTTGGGCATCAGCTTCAGCAAAACATCTGCAATAACACCCTACAATGTCTTAATATTTTGTTTATTTTTTATTTTTGTAATATATATATACACACACACACACACACACACACACACACACACACACACACACACACACACACACACACACACACACACAAGAGTTCTTACATTCTTGTAAAGCCACTAGCATGCATAGTGTTCTGGGCAGGTCCTTAATCCTAATTTTCCCCAGAATATGACCCGCCAAATCGTTTAACCAGGTACCCATTCACTGCTGGGTGAAGAGAGGCTACAGTCAATCCTCCCAGGCCAACGCACTGACAAAGTACAGGGCGAGTGCTTTACCACTGTGCCACAGGGACTGGCACAATAGGTGTTCATTACTCCTGAAATGTTATCTACCAACAAAAGACTGCAACCTAGCCTTCTTCACGTGTAATTCCTGCTTTTTAACATACCGGTATTCACAATATCTACCAATTTTTTTTTTTTTTTACAGGCCTGCCCCTATTCCTACTCTTAAAATTATTAGAATAAAGTTTTTTCACCATTCTCATTATGCATGTGTTCAACACGACCAAACCATCTCGCTAGAATATAAGCATTTAACCCTATTTTGACTCTTTTGTCAGATGTGGCAGCAACAGTGTGTGGGTAGATCAAGTTGTAGCAGACTTGATTGGTGGCAATGTGCGAGAAAGCCTTCTCCAGGCTGCTATCATAATTCGTCTACGTGGCAACACAAAGCTTCAGCAATTAGTTCTTGCTAAAAAAGATGAAATAAGAGGTCAGTCTGATGATTTATGACAACTGTTTTGTGCCTGGGCAACTTGGTATTTGTTTGGTATTGAATTCATAATAAAAAAAAATTGTGACTAACAGTAGCTCCTAGTTTTAGGAAGATATGAAGTGTGTTTGCAATATTACAATCAACCTGGTATTATCAGATTGATACAATGAAATACACAACTTTAATAAATCTGAATGTTTTTTTTTTTTTTAACTATTAGTACTTTTTTCCAGAATCAATTCTAAGCAAAGGCGTCCAAGGCATGACCACACAAGAAGTAAATGAAAAGTTACTATTACTTCTGAAGGACTGCTATTAATATGTATCATATATACATATTTAAATAAAAAATGCTTCTTTACATGGTGTTACATATATTGTTTAATTTACTTCTTTCCTTACATGCACATATGCATGTACTGTAATGTGAGCACATTACTGTACTTAAATAATGTACTTGCCTATTTAAACTTCGTGCTGCTCGGGTTCATCTGAAGATCATTTAACGCAATCAGATGTTTATAAGTCGGAGCAGATGTGTATTTACACATTTTATTACTAAATAGTCTACCCGAGCATAAGAAAGTCCTTACAAGAGCTAAAACAGCTTGGTGATGAAGTGCAATACATAACAAGCAGTGAATTTCAGTAATATCCACGAGATGAAATCAGTTACTTTCAACACAAAATATTGAATAGCAACTGACATGCAGCACCACTGAAACTCCCATTCCTTGAGGTGCCAAATAAAGTAAATGTGTTGCTAGACGTTACAAATTCTAATGAAAGTGTTTTTGTGATTTTCAATTATTTCTGTTAGTGGTTCAAATATTGATCATAAATGAAGTTACTTGTTTGAATTTTCTTTTTTCTTTTTTGTTAGGTCTGTTACTGTTCTACTTTCCTCAAAGGTATATGAATTTCTTCTGTCAAGTAGTGGTAATGGTACTGGTGTTGCATGTTGTAGTTGTTGGGGGTGTACTAGTTGTGACTGGTGTTTGTATGGCTTGTTTTCCATGTTCCAGTACCATGCATTTTCCTTTTTCATCTTTTGTTACCGTTTTCTTCCTGATCTGAAAATAAACTTATCACCACCTTTCCTTAGTGCTACTGTTGGCTAGCCATTGTCAAAATTTAAAGAGGTACTTCTCAACATGTTACCTATAGCTTCTGGATGATCCTTGGTAGCTCCCTGTCCCATCTTTCCTTCCCAGTGGGAATATTTGGGGACTGTTTTAGTGGGTTGTGAGGGAGGTGGTGTACGGGGGCCCCCTTGGTGCCCTGGACCACCATCCTGGCTCTCGGTAGGTTAGCACCTAAACACTGGTTACGCTACTGCATCCTTACTAGAAGAGTATTTTGTTACATTCAACACTTGATTTATAGTATGGTGCCCAAAACTGACTGGCATAATCTAAATGAACCTAACAATAGAAAGATAAAACTGAAGAATAAAATCAGATGTGTTATTATGGTCTATAACAGTATTATTACTATTTTATTTCCTTGTTTTCAAACATTTTGGCTCACCTTGAAAAACTGGGAGTTAACTGGAGAGAACTGGACAAACTTGAGGGCAAGGCGGGAAAGCAGGCCAGGTGCCAGAGTTAGCCAGAGGCAGAAAGGTAGAGAGATTTGACTAAAGCACAGATGCTAGTTGAGGCCAGGAGGAGGGGGTAGAACATAAATTAGCTTAGGACAGGCTGAGAACACAGTTAAGATAAGGAGGCAGGGCAAACAGGGCCACTGATGGGCTAAATAGGGCAAGTGTGTCTGGAGAGGGGAGGTCTAGACAAGGCTAAGTGGAGACAAGCAAAACAGTAGCTGGGTGGTAGGAGTGTGGCACAGATTCCAGGATGATTAGGATAATGATCTAGAGTGGAGGCTCACAACCAATTGGACCCAACGTTCAATTTCTAGGCAAGAAGAGACATTTTGACATGTTTCCTTACACGTGATGCCTCTTTGTTTACTGTTGGGTGAATGGGTACCCAGGAGTATGGCACCTTGGCAACTGTTATGGGTCACATCCTGGGGAAGGTCAGTCAATGCCTTGGTGGTACCTTATGTCTAACTGCTTTCCTGTCCCTGACAATGGAACATATAAGCAAGGATAGGGGATGCACTTCAGGTGGTTCATGGAACAACTGTTCCTTCTGCAATTCCCCAAAATGTGCCTTGCTATTTGAGAGGTACTGCTAGAATGATACTCTGCTACAGGCATGAGACTGCTTAAACCTTGCTTTGTACTGCTAGTCTGGTTATAACATACCTTTGGCTAGTCTTTACAATGCAGATCCCTTTCTAATTGTGGCTGTCATTATTATACTTATCAGTTATGTATTTATTATAATGACCTTAAGTTTATTCTAATTTGTGGTATATTTATATTGATATATTAACTGCCCTTAGATATGCTGATGAATATTTATGAGACTCGTCAAGGTGGGAGGTGGCTTGACCAGGGATGGGCACAATATGCCCCACAACATGTAAAGGTAAATGATGTAGTATTCTTATTGGAGCAGGCTGTGTTTACAGTACAGTGGTACCTTCGTTTATGATCCTAATCCGTTCCCAGAGAATGTGTCGTACACAAATTCGTAAACCAAAACAAATTTTCCCATAAGAAATGATGTAAATTGAATTAATCCGTTCCACACCTCCAAAAATATTAACTTAATACATTTTATTCCAAATACCACTCCTTTTGTACTACAATACAGTATGTATATATTGCCTTTATTGAGGACTCTTATTGGCGTATGGAAAACGGTGAGGAGGAAAGGTATTAGTGTTTGGATGGGGAGTCCCAGTCCATTATAACATCAGGCAGTGAGGACTTTTCTAGGGTACACATTGTCCTATTTTTGCAGGCATACCACTAGAACCTGGTTGTGGCTCGCTGCTTGTTTGTCTCGCTAAAAACCTGTATATTGACACTTGTTTTTCCCTACATTTTAACACTTGTCTGTAGTGAGACATTACATTGTTATTAAAAAGGTTAATGCAACAGTTTATACAGCTTTATCTTTGTGACATTTTTTAGCAAAACTTTGCAGTTCTTTCCATACTGCACACATATTCTTAATGAGGAAGGGACATTAACAACCCGCATACCATTTTCATGTTTACAAATTATCTCTTATTTTTCCTCTATCGTCATTCTCACAACTATTTTCTTAGGTTGAACTTTATTACTGACTTTCTTGGTATATGAATACCAAGCATGATATATTATAAGAACTTTTATGTTCAGAAACCGAAAAAGCACAAACACAATGAAATTCTTTACAAAGAATTAAAGCGCAATCGTCATTGGGTGGGTAGGCAGGATACACTGATAAACAATCACCCCATGCTTCAGCACCACGCACTCGTTCGACCCAAACATGTATCAACAGATGTCGTATTCCAAGGAAAACATCCTGCACTAATTCAAATTTTACAATGAATTTGACGTCGTATACCAAAAAAAATTGTACTCGGGCAGTTGTACACCAAGGTACCACTGTATCTTATTTTATTTTTAAATGTACAGCTTGCCACTTATTGTCATCTTACAGCTAAGTATTTGAAAATATATTATGAAAGGTTGGCAAAACTAAACATAATTGCACATTAAGGATGAAAGAACTTTAAGCGTATAATTCAAATACGTAATTTTAAGCGTATAATTCAAATAGAGTACAAAATATAAATTAGGTAGCCTACTGTATTATTTACATACAATTGTAATCTCAAATTTAATTTAAAGTGCTGAGATCTATAGTTAGAGAACATTATACATACACATGAGATCTATCATATTTACTATATTTTTGCCTATCATATTTAGTATATTTTTGGATTTAAACAAGGGTACTTGATGGTCTCCAAGGCAGGAGTTCATTATGGTTCCAATTACAGATTTATGTTGAGTAACCTGTGTCTTACTGTCAGGACTTTGGTCTCTTAATTACATCTTTGAATGATATTTATGACCTGTCGAGTACAGATACAGTGCTAAATAGAGTAGTTTTCCAGACATGTTGCCTTCTTTTGATAATTACCTGTACTTGCTCTTTTCTTTTTACAAATTTAAAACAAGACTGTACACAAAATTAATGACAATAAGAGAGTAAGTCCATTATGAAAGTTTTATTTACTTAAATTAATTCAGTAGTTCACTAATCTTGGGAAAGTCCACGGCAGGTGATTTCAGAGTCGTCATGGTCTGGTTGCAAACCCTCTTCATGGCCAAGTGGCTCTCCAGAAACTGACAGAATGGGATCTGTAAGATGTGAAGAGTAATTATTGAATCAAAAGCTAACATGCATGTTGTCATTCCACTTCAAAGGACATTACTCTGGTGATCCTAAAACCTGAGTGGACCAGATTCTGGTACTTGTTTGATGAGACACTCATGAATCGTTAAGAGCCTGGTGTGGTACAGGGGGGCAGGACAGTTTGCCAGCATGTAATTTGGGAAGATACCAAGATGGTTCTACCAGTAAAGGATACTGGATATTATTTGTGCACCCGAACCCTAATTTAATAAATGTTGTATGGTATGTATTAGTTAAAGTGTCATGTCACCTGTTGCTGAATTTAGGTTATGACTTTATTCCAACAATGAATGACCTGAGATTGAATTATACCATAGATGAATATTACAAAATATGTTCTAATATTTACAATAAAAAACTCACCAAATCTGACAATAAATAATGGGACCAATCCTATTTAACTAGGATTTTTTGAAGTCTCATTTATTGACAAAATTTAAATTATATTGGTGGTTCTGCTAACAACAAATAACCTAAATTATGAACAACAAATCTGATATAAAATACTGCTGCATATTACCTTATCTTAAATACCAAATGGTTAATTAGTAGCAAGAGCGAAAGTACTAACCATTCAGGATGACCTGGGAAGTTACGACAGGGGAGGAAGGGTCGAGGCTTGTGGCTAGCCCAGTTTGGGAGTGGCTGATGTCCCCATCACTCAGGATGTCTTCCTCCTTCACTCTAACTAAACCTGACAAAATATATACAATATCATAACCCCATTTCCTGCTTCCATGAGGTGCAATGGTATCAGCTCAGAGAAAAAAACAAGCAAGTAAAGGAGAGTTATAGATAATAAATCACCTCGGCCAACCACTCCAACACTCAAGATAATAATCACTCAGGCCATGTATATTTTCTTGTCACTTTGCATAATTTTTTAACATGTAATTTGCAAATACTGTAATGGGCCAATAAATGGCTGCTGGAATTTTCCAAATAGGTGTAAAGAAAGGAAAATGGGACATCTCCCTGCAAACATAAAATGTAATGGTCCCTACTGTTCCCCTGTTATAACTTGTAACAAAGTTGTTACAATGTTGAGTTTGGCAGGCTGTATTTAACTACACCATAAGAAGGGGCACAATTTTCATTTCTTAGAAGTGAAAAATACAGACATAATCCCAACACAAGTACCAGAGGCTCATGTGAACAGGATAACATCAGCATCATATGGGAATTTAGTCAAACATTAGATCATTTAAGAATTTAAACAAGGAGGTTATCAAGTCCATACATACTGCATATGTAAGATCATTACTTGAGTATGCAGCACCCGCATGAAACCCATTTAGCGTGAAAAGAAGCTTGAGAAAGTTAAGAGGTTTATAACCTAGATTATTACCAGGAATTGAGATGAGCTCGGCTATGAGGACAGGTTGAAGGAACTTGCCTTCACAGCCTTAGAGAAAAAACAGGGGGAATAGACAAAGTAAGCCTATTTAAATAAAAAAGGTGGACAAGAAGACATCAGTTGAAGCTGATGTAAGAGTGGTCAGCAAGTAGAATGCATTGAAGAGGATGTTGAAGCCAATTCCATCCACAGCTTTCAGAAAAAAATATGATGTAAAGGTTGAGAGAAGTAATTGGAGTGCCAGATATAAATGGGTAAACTAGTAGTTAAACCTGGGTAACAAATGTTTACACACATTAGTTAAGGTCAGCATTGCAAGTGTAATACTGTATATGCAGCTATCTATTGGTGTGCTCTACCTTTGTTTTTTTTATCTTAGGTTTTAGGATCACCACAGTAACCGAGTGGACCAGATTCTGGTACTGGTTTGATAAGACACTCGTGAATCGTTAAGAGCCTGGTGTGGAACTGAAGGCAGGATAACTTGCCAGCATTTAGTTTGGGGAGATACCAAGGTAGCCTTTCCCTAACTACCAGAAAAGGAAACTGGGTATTATGTGTGCACCTGAACACTAATTTAATACATATTGTACATATTAGTTAAGTGTCATGCCACCTGTTGCTAAACTCTGGTTATGACTATGCCAACAATGGGTGACTCGAGATTGGGTCATACCAGAGATTAATATTACAAAACATGTTCTATTATTTACAATAAGAAAACCCCCACAAATCTGGCAATAAATAAAAGGTTCAATCCTATATAATTTGGATTTTTGAGGTTATTGACAAGATAAAACTTAAAAAAATATATTGATGGTTCTGCCAATCACAAATAACCTAAACCATGAATAACAATTCTGAGAAAGGCAAAGTACTGCTGCATATCACCTCATCCTAAACACCAAATGGTTAATCAGTGGCAAGAGTGAAAGTACTAACCATTCAGGATGACCTGAGAAGTTACGACAGGGAAAGAAGGGTCGAGGCTTGTGGCTAGCCCAGTTTGGGAGTGGCTGATGTCCCCATCACTCAGGATATCTTCCTCCTTCATTGTAACCAAATCTGACAAAATTTATACATCATAACCTCATTTCCTGCTTTAACGAGGTCCATTGGCAGAGCCCCCCCCCCTAAAAAAAAGGGGGAGGTAAGACGGCTATAGACAATAAATCATCTCAGTCAACCACTTCATCACTTAATAATTGCTCGGGCCATGTATATTTTCTTATCTTGTCACTTTGCAAATTACATGAGAAAAAAATATGCAAGTACTGTAATTGGCAGATATATGGCTGCTGGAATCTAATCAACATAGGTGTAATAAAACTGGGGAAGGGAGATAAAAGATCTGTATTTAACTACACCACAAGAGAAAAGTAATTAAAGGAAATGGTAAGAGAAAAATACCTGGGAACAGACATCATTCCAGCACTAGTATCAGAAGCTCATGTGAACAGGATAACATCGGCAGTATATGGGAAGTTAGCAAACATAAGATTTAAGACTAAAAGAGGAGGATTTAAAGTTCATACACACTGCCTGTGAGAGACTATTACTTGATTATGCAGCACCAGCATGGAACCCATGCATTGTGAAGTATGAAAAGAAGCATGAGAAATCTCCAAGGTTTATAATTAGATTAATACAGTACAGTACCAGAATTGAGCGCGCTTGGCTATGAGGACAGGTTGAAGGAACTTGCCATCACAACCTTGAAGGAAAGACTAAATGGGATATGATCATGGTATACAAGATCCTGAGGAAAATAGACATAGTGAACATAGGAAGCTTATTTTAATCAAAAGGAGGTAGGACAAGGGAACATTAGCTGAAGCTATGTAAGAGTGGTCAGCAACATTGAAGATGTCATTGCAGCTAATTCCATCCACAACTTAGAAAAAAAGATGAAAATGTTAAATGTTTAGAGAGAGCGCACGGCATAAATAGTGGGTATAAATAGCTAGCTCTCGCTTCCCTGTAGTGACCAGAAAGTAGTTAGGCAAAACCTGACCCTCATCACAGGTCAGAAAGCTCTCAGTGATGCCAACCAGTAATGGAGAAGTGCAACTAGCAGGTGAATGACTTGACTACTTTGTGCCTCATTTTCACTGTTCAGATATATAGTACAGTACCTCAAGGCATTATGCGCAGTGCAGTGGTTAAAGTGTTTTGAATGGTTCTTTTGTATCATAAAAGGTTATTATTTTCTGACAAAACATTATTAAAAAGAAGTCCTTGTCCCAGTGGGTTGAAAAAGTCACCCAGGAACCTCGTACATTTATGATTGCCATGCCAATCATCTAAGTAAGGAGAGCCACTAAGAGGGATAGCTCAGAAAAGTCCCTGAAATATCAAGTACTGTACTACTGTATACCATCTTCCTCTTTAGTTCCACCCTAACACATTATAATAATATTGGTTACAAATACTGCCATTTTTCTTGAAGGTCATACATGAATTAGGTATTTGATTACACTAATATCTCCATATGTTAGTCTTACCTTGGTCAAGAAGTGTAGTACGACTCGTGCTCGTCCTGTGTACGTCTGGTAAGTCCATTGACAAGGAATCCTGGAGAAAATTAGAATGTTTGAGTGTCAAGTTTTAGAATTTCTTCATTTACAGTTTGCCCCCTTCCAGTTACACACCACCTAGTGGAATATATTGAGTACAGGGTACTAGCAACTTTGAATTTAAAAATATATACCTCTCATGATATTAGCCTAGCACCCAACATATTGCTAGGGACCTCGCAACTGGAAAGGGGGTGAATTTTATTTGCCATTACATTTTTTACTATTCCTTCCATCTTCTACTGTTTTTCCTTCAAATTTTCCACTGTATCCCTTTACTGCTTGTATAACAGCTAAAAAAACTTAGTAAACACTGTAATAAGCTAGATATGTTTTGATTGTAGCCAACAGAGAGAGGGATTCTAGGACCCTGTGTCAGTTACATTTTGCAACATAAGCAATACAGTGTTATGAACAAACTTAACCTTTGGTTACAATAAGTGACATGCTTCTCTCACAAAACTACGATGGGATTTTTTCAAATATCTTTAAATAATAGTTTCTACATCTTGTAACTTCCATCTAATATGACTAGATACCTGGCCTTCAGAACAGTTGTTTGGGCAGGGTAGCTGGTGCCACCTGGTGGCAATAGAATACATCTTTACCCTGGTACAGTATACATAAATGTGCCAGGAATAAGCTATCTTGTTCAAGACTTTCTCACCATTATGAGAAAATAATAAAAACTAATGTACAGTTGGTGGAAAAATGTCCAGAAGTCCAGAATAAAATTTTTGGGTTACATTTATTTCCAACTAAGACAAACTTCCATGATTATGCTTAATGCTTGAATTTATAAAAACAAAGACTGTAAAGAACTTTATTCATAAATGGTTATACATTTGTAATTGAGTGATTTTACACAAAACTTCAGTATATTTACATAAGTCATATCAACAGCATAATACGCAATCATTATAATTACGTATGTAATGTATAATCTATTTTCAGATTTACATTTAAAAGCTTTATTTATTAGTGATTTATAAAAAATTATTACAGTTGTGTTGCAGTGACCAGGTGTTACAGTCATTGAAGAAATTTCTGGGTTATAATTACAACAGTGAGACTTATGGTATAAAATTAGGATGTTCAGACTTATGGTATAAAATTAGGATGTTCAGACTTATGGTATAACTTAACTAGCTCACCTGATCCGAGTAACTTAAAAACTATAAATACTGTACTTGTATGGTACTTTAGTGATAAACATCACATACTCTACCTGCATAGTCTCCACAACTATGGAGTGAGGTTTAGCATCATTTGCTAATGTGGAAGAAAGGTGCGGGAGTTGTGTGGTGACCTGCGTAGTCAGTGTGGGTGAAGTGAAGCAATGTGGTTGTGACACCACACTTGTGGGCTGGCACACCCTCACGTCCACACTCTGTGCCAACAGAGCGCTCTGCATCAGCTCACTTAATCTTGATCCAAACTGTTCCTCATTTTCAACTGTCAATTTATAATATAAAAATATAATAATAGATGAGTAAGAAAATAAGATATTCTCAAAACAAGTTGAATGTCAACTTTCAATAGCATTTAAATAAGTTTATTTTCAGGAAAAAAAAATTTCTAAAATGGTGTTAAAAATTAGGAAAAGGTATTAGTGGATATTACAAATGACAGGTGCCCAGTGGAAAAACAAACGAGAAGGGCACTGTAATATTGTAATATCAGGCAGTTTATTTGTTTGATATACTTTTGTACACTGTCTTTGTATTATCATTCCAGTTATTTATATTATTTTATTGTTCTGCAATTCCTTCATTGACCTAACAGTTTATTTAGTATATAGTATATACAATATTCTTCACGTTTCACAGTGAATTTCCTTCTTCAGATTCTTCTACAACACATTAACTTAGCCATGTGGTAAACACTACCTCATTTTTCATACTCAATCCTTATAAGCTTACCTGAGCTGATCATGGTTGAAAAATTTGCAGCTGGAATACATAATTTGATAGTGCCAACGGAGACGCAGTCCTGATCTACACCCATCGAGGACTTGTTTCCGGATGTAGCAGTGCTCATCAACGGGGAATTAGTTAAAGTGTTGAGGAAGGTTGCTGGCAGCTCTACTAGTGTAGACTGGAGGAGGCTCAGAGACTGCATATTATACAGCTGCTGACACATCTCTGGTGAAGATACAAGCACATACAGTACACTGAAGTCAATATAAAATACTGTACATGATATTGTTTTTCCAATGCAGCTATAACACAAAAAAAAAAACAGCGTTGAATGTAATGAAAAGCCATTTTCTGGGCGAGTCCCGGAGGCTCCCCGGAGCTTACCGGGCTGATATGTATGTATTCGACAGTGGCATCAGTCAATTCGATTGGAGTTCTTGCCTATTTATGACCACAAGCCAGAACCTGGCCCCCCTCAGAGAGGCACGAGGAGCAATGAATGGCCTATAGACCCCCCCCCCCATGTGGTTGGTTGGAAGAATTTCATGTCTGCCATTGACTGGGTTAGGCACCCAGAAAGGTAAGCATCCTAAAACAAACTCCACCTGGTTAAAAATTGCTACTGAAAGCCGAACTATCAAGCAAAACTCCACAATCTGAAAACAAGCAAACAAGCATGACGTCACAACCACCACCATGCTGCTGTCTGCACAGCTCCCCCCTCCCCAGGAGGTGGAAGGGGGGCCCAGACCCCCATGCCAGCCATCCAACCCCAGTTCAGAAGCTGAATATAAAAAACGCGAGTACCGCCGACTGAAGGGAGGGAGGGTTGCCAGGGAACCTCCGGGATTCGCCCAGAAAATGGCATTTCATTACATTCAACGCTGGTTTTCTGTGAAGAGCCCCTCCAACTCCCTGCAGCTACCTAACCACAGAAAAGGAAAAAGAGGGACTTACCCAGGAGGTGCCAACCACTCGCATCTTAACTCGAAGTCGAGACAACTAGCTGCAACCTGCGACCCAAAGTGACGCACGCCCAACTAAGGCCAGGAACATTAACGAGGTAACGGGGGGCCAATACCCTGTTCGACCTTCATAATCCTCATATCTGAATAACAGCCCAAGACATACTGTATAACCAAAAACCAAGACATACTGTATAACCAGCCCAAGACATACTGTATAACCAATGGGCACTAAGATAGACCGCAGGCTGGCTGGACCAAATAACCCTGAGGACCACCTGGGAGACCCGAGCCCAGGAACAGGGACGAAGGGAAACCGGGTCAACCCAAAATGTGTCCCTGGCCACCAAGGCTGTGGTGCGCAAATAACGGCCAGAATCCAGAAAAGTAGGATGGCAAGCACCAGGGACCAACCAGAAGGAGGCACTTCATTACATTCAATATTGAATATTTCTTTTACAGAAGTGGTTACATGGCTTCTGACTCCTGTTAGCCAGTTTAGAGCATTTCATTCCTATATTGTAGTTCACTGTAAACCTTATACCAATTTTCCAACTGGTTTACAACCTGTCAATGAATCTTATTTTGATGTGAAGGCTCACCTTTAAGATTGGTATCTTGAGAAGACTGTGGGAGACGTCTCTTGAGGTTCCACCATTTGCCCCGCAGCCAGTGTGGTGAGCGACAAGCTGGCCAGATTCTGGCTAGTGCAGACCAGTCTACTTGTGACTCCTCTCCCACGCCACACACACTAAGCCTTATGTATTTAAAAAATTATATATCTACTTTAGAATGGCTCTGGGTATCTCACCCTTATTCACGTAATACACATATTATACATTACATCTTTTAAAATCATTCTGCTTTCCTTTCTTTATACAGCATATAAGATTTGTCACATAAAATGGAGTTAATCAAATACATACTCAGTTGCTACACCTGAAACCTCTAATGGGGGGCAAGAAACTCCTAGAAGAATGCAACACCTTATACTGACTCATTGCAGATCTCAGAAGGTGAGAAACAAGAATGTCTATCATTCTGTCTTCCATAAAGCAAATGGTACATCAATATTAAAGAAAACAAAATGGAGGGGACAAAGTATGTAAAGAGCTTCAGAGCTACCCAGGGGGGTTTGGCTGCTGAGCAATGGCAAGAAGCTGGGCCTTGGAAATGACATTGTGCAAGGACAGTGAGAGCAAAGAACTGGGAACCAAAGTGTAACAAGCCACATGGAAGCTAAGACAATGAAAAAGTCACTATATTACCAAATTCAAGGATTTTTACTTCAGATCATAAAGCAAGGTTTTGTTATTTAGATCATTAAAATGCACATAAAAATGTTATTTCCAATACAAATGAAAAAAAAAAACATGTTTCCATTAGAGTTCACTATAGTGTGGCACCCAGCACTCTCCAATATGGGGTGAACAACCTGAACAGAAGAAACATGCTAAAGCAAAGCCAATGGTTCCAAACAAGTGATAAGAGACTACTGCTGCCAAAACTTCCTGACAACTGTAGACGACACATCATGGACGTGTCGTCTACAGCTGTACTGACCAAACCTCCATGACCGCTGAAGACAGACCCCAACTAAAACTTAACAGAACTATTAAAGAGCTTGAATGTCGGGAGAAAGGAATGTCCTTGAGTCCTTGAGCCATCCTAATCCTAAAAAGCCAGAAGTGGCAATGCAGGATAACCTCAGTTAGAACAGGTCCCACACTGAACAGTCCTTGAGCCATGGGTGTGTTGAGTTGTGGTAAAAGCAGTACAGTGTTACCAACCCTCCACAACCCATGGTCAACACCACATAGGCAATGGAAAGAGCTGGCACCTGTTCAACCCCAGATGGAAAAGAAACAAGTCATTGCCAAGAGGATGCCATGAGAGAGACAGAAAGACACTAGAGTCTGGCATGTGAGCAGTATCCTGAGCGGACACTGACTGCTGTCTCAAGAAAAAGTCAAGGGGACCTTGCTATAAAAAAAAATATATATATATCAAAGATGCACACTCAAAAATCATATGCACAAAAGTGGTTACAACAGAGATGTTGTTTGACTTTCTCACCTGCATATGAGTTGAATATCATCTGCCTTGCTCCATTCCACTCCAGATGCTCGTTTCCAATTGAGGTAGTTGAGCCACTTAGTACGACACTGCTTTTCTGACCGTGTTCTTACCCTATTAGACACTTCACCCCAAGAGATTCCACTTGTCACCTGAGTCATTGAATAATAAAGTAAGCACAATGTAATGAAACACCCTTTACTAGTAGGCCCTTGGTAGCTCCATGGTACTTACATGCTGGTACTACAAAGCCTAAGGACCTACCTGAAGCTCACATGTGGTATAAATGAGCTTGGGGGCCAGAGACCTCGCAAAACTAAGATAAACTGACTAGAAAGTTGGATGAAACAACAAATCATTGTTTGAAAGAAGAAACAAATGACAAGAGATAAGACAAACAATAGCTTTCCATGGGTGAACTTTTTCAGTTCTGACTTGCTCAATCGCCAGCAACTGGTGTCCCAAGGCACCAGGGTCCCTACTAGCCCCATACTTCAACTCAAGAGCCACCAGTACAAAACTTGCAAAATCCCCACATGGAAGGTAAAAAAATACAGAAAAAATGTTTCATTACATTCAACTCTTGATTTCTAGGAAGTCGTGCTACAGTAGCTTCCCAGTGTTTACTACTAATGATGCTTCTGTAGAGGATGGCAGGTTTTGCTGAAAAGAAACAAAAAGAGGAGAAAACCCAAAAACCTGGAAGAATCTTATTCACGGTAAAGGACAGCAGAGGAAGACTCAAAGTAGAAAAGCTTATTAACTGTTTAATAATTGTAAACAAAGCCGCCGAGAATTGAGAAAAGATATACAGGTTCTTAAGTGCTTGCATAACTGCTTCGACCACCAGAAGTCCCATGAAGAGACAGTGTGTGCACCCAGGAACTAGAAACAGAAGGTAAAACAGCAGAAAAAACAACTGAGCAATGAGCAGTGTATGCAAGGATCACAGTCTAATGGTAATAGGAAACAAATAAAGAGGGTTAAAGGAACTGCTGAAATATACACAAAGCCACACCCAGGTACAAACCCGATACAAGGAAGCTAGCAACTGTGAAATGAACTGGATGAATCAAATAGTCAGACAAAATGCCAAAGAGCACTAGGGGCAAGAAAAAATGGGAATATACAAAATTTGGACCCCAAAGGGGCTCCAAATGGACCAGGGCAAGCACAATGTGGGGTGCATAAAACATAATTATGAAAGAGAGAAACAAAAAGAAGTCAATGGCCTCCAGCAGAACTAGTGTTCCAGGGGGATAGCCAACACCACTTTGCTTTAGCATGGAGACAGAGAATGGGCCCCCATCAGGGGTTCTTTGCTTCATATGCTGTAATGAAGCATGTATGAATAGGCTGTTTGGAATCCCAGGTGACTTGGCCTGCCACCTAAAGGTAGTCGAGCACCTCTTGGTTAAGTGTTTACACCATGGCAATGATCATTTGCCTTATTTCCTCTGAGTATCTAATTTTCTTCCAGCAGTTGCATGTTTTGTTGCTCTCCTGCTTTCTAGTTTTGTTCTAGTTTTGAGTTAATCTTTGATCCCCATGCTCCCTAAATCTCAAAGAAAGAGCCAGATTCTGGTCATGACTTAGGCAAGGGTGGGTCCCGGAGGCATGGTGCATCTTTTCAAGATGTGGCTGTAACAGCTCTTAGCTCAGATAGCTATTGAAAGGCCCTCTCAGAAAATATCTGAGTCAAGAGTAGTAGTGATCTTAAGCCAAAAATAGCATGAAGAGCAATGAAATTCCCCTTCCTGGGCAATACAACACATCAGTAACCCAATTTGCCTAACAAGCAGTGATTTTCGTTATTTTAAAATACTTCTTTCCAAATTTGTTTATTCTAATTAATACTATTATGTTATCTTAAGAATAGGAATTACTGACTTAGTTATGTTATACTGTATTAGGTTAGGTTAGAAAGGTTAGATCTGATCAAATTTGTGTTATTTTTAACTCAACTTAAAAAAAAAATCAAATTATATATATATATATATATAATTTTTTTTTCTGAGGAAACATCTTTAAGAAAAAATTCTATATTAGTGTTTCAAATAACAAAATAAACTCAGAGACAGGAAAACAAGGCATCACCTGCTCCCCCGGCAACACCTGAGCCATGTCATATACAGCAATTGACAACCGGTCCTCCTCGTCTGCTGACCATGCCCCACGGTTGCAGTTTTCATTTAACAGACGACACCGATCTTTAACAGAAGCAGCTGACCTGCCAAGATGTGCTGCAATAGCCTGCCAGTTTTTGCCATGCTTTGTTCGCAATTCTCTAAGTTTGTTAACCTCTTCTGAGGTATACTTGCCAATGTGGTTATGGTTGTCATAAATTCTGAAAAGAAAATTAAATTTACTGGTATGGCTTATTTCAATACAAAACCAGCATTGAATGTAATGAAACTCCATTTTCTGGGCGAGTCCCGGAGACTTCTCGGAGCCTGAGGGGCTCTCCATAGAAAAATAATTAAAATACACACAAATTAACTTATTTTTAACACACCATGTCTCACTTTCATGTGGTAAAGAGGATCTTATCCAGGAAGAAGAATATATTACATGCTAGGTACTCTGCTGGGATGGACTTGAAGAGTAGAATTCCCAGAAACCACTCCAAGTATACCAAGAATAAGGAACCTTGCAATCTCTTCTTGTCCAGTCTATGCAGCCATGGGAGCACATGGGGATCAGAGGTCATAATACTGAGGCAAATCACTCGAAAAACAACGATACGGGTCAACAACATATCCCACACTCCTACTGATATTTATTTTGTTAAATTACTGAACTACTAAAACCAAACCCAAAACTACTACATAAGTGGTCCAACTCTTCCTTTCTGCCACCAGGAGTCAGCTTGAAAAGAATGTACCAGCTGTCACTGATGCTGGGAAGTAATGTACCAGCTGTCACTGATGCTGGGAAGTAATGTACCAGCTGTTGCTGATGCTGGGAAGTAATGTACCAGCTGTCACTGATGCTAGGAAGTAATGTACCAGCTGTCACTGATGCTGGGAAGTAATGTATCAGCTGTTGCTGATGCTAGGAAGTAATGTACCAGCTATCACTGATGCTAGGAAGTAATGTACCAGCTATCACTGATGCTGGGAAGTAATGTACCAGCTGTCACTGATGCTAGGAAATAATGTACCAGCTATCACTGATGCTAGGAAGTAATGTTCCTTGAAGTCAGGATGGATATGCACTACTGTAAGAGGGACAATGCAGTTTGGACAATAAGGAGCAGGGCGGAGTTCCATTAAGTGCCCATGAGCTAAACAGGTATGGCCAATATGTAACCTTGCCAGTCGTTTCCCACTGCCAGTTATGGTGGGAGGAGGAAGGCCATGGGACCACACTACCCTTAAGAGCACACAGCTTGTTACCAGTAACAGAAGACCATCAATCCTGCCAACAGGCACGGATTGAAGAATGAATAACTGGGTAGAAGTCAAAATAAGGAATACCTTTGCAGGAAATGGGACAAGTGCAGATAGCCACTTGAAGCCATGATTGGTGGCTCAGGACGACACGGCATCAATCACAAGTTGAAGCCTCAGTTGGAGGAAAGGCAAGTCTTCACCTTGACAGCAGAGAATAAGATCAACAACATAGAGAGCTGAGAAAATGCCAGAGAGTAGGGAGGAAAAAAGACCATTGAGGGTAACCAGGAAAAAGAGTAGTGCTCAGAACACTACCCTGGGGTACACCTTCGTATTGCTGAAAAGAGGTAGAGAATGGTACCAAGTCTCACTCTAAAGGCATGAACAGAGAGGAAGAGAGGGAGATTACCATTAAGGCCAAAAGAATGGAGGTGGGACAGAATATGGTATCTCCAGGTGGTATTGTATGCCTTTTCCCAGGTCATAAAGTTCAGCAACAATGGAAGCCTTCACAGGAAAGGCAGTAGTGTTTTTCTGGTGATAGCATTTGAAGAACCATATCAGACGGACATTGAACACACGTTCAAATAGTTAGCAGATGCAATTCATTAGAGCAATGGGGCAGAAGTCTGTACGGATGACCCTAAAGAACCAGGTTTCCGAATATAAAGAACAACCACCTCAAGCCAGGGACTAACAACGACTCCCAGATGTTGGGAAGTAATGTACCAGATGTCACTGACTGTGGGAAGTAATATACCAGCTGTTGCTGCTTGTGGGAAGTAATATACCAGGTGTCGCTGATTATAGGAAGTAATATACCAATTGTCACTGATGCTGGGAAGTAATGTACCAGTTACTGCTGATACTGGAAAATGATGTTCAACAGAAACTATGTATTATTTTAGGCTTTATGGAAGAGGCATTCCTTTTCCTACAACCTTTTATTATAATTTTTAAACTCAGCTAATATAGGATTTTAACAATACTATATGAAAAACTTACAACCAATTATTTGATGATACAACTAGAGGCTAATTGCATTTTACAATGATATTGATAATGATAATTCGTCTTGCCTGATAATTCGTCTGTAGACTGAGAAGAGAGGTCTGTTGAGGCCTCGAGCAACTACACGGTAAAAGCCACTTCGCTCCTCCTTTGACATCTTGAATATAACAGAGCCTGGATCGGACAAACCTTTCTGAGCACAATATTGTTCAATATTGTGTTGTAGGAGCTCTGTTTCTTCCTTTGACCACATACCCTGACGCCATGCATGACCACGCCATCGTAGCATTTCTTTATCTTCCCGAGATGTAAACCAGCTCTGGTTCACACTTGAACTTCCAGCCTGAAAAAATTTGGTTTTCTATTTTTATCAATTAACATAATTTTATTGTGAAGATTTGTTACAATCAAAATTATTTTTTCAGCAAACCAGACCTCCAAGACCCGTGCTGACCTACCAAGAGGCAGCAACACTACACTAACCTCCATCTGGCTTTCTGTTGGGGACTCCATGTCTTCGTCGTCATCATCTTCCTCAGCACTTACATTTTCCGACCTGGTCACATTGCTCTAAAAGCAAAAATAAAAAGTTAAATTTTTCAGATGTTGTGATTGAACTTTCCATGTATCAGTATTCTATTTTATTATTAATTATAATTTAAATATAATCTTCTTGAAAGCTATATGTGAGAAACTGAGAGGACTAGTACATTTAAATTACAATTATAATTAATAATAAAGTGAAACAATAGTACATGTAAAATTATATCTGTTACAATGAAGAGTTCCTCTATACTAACATGCCTTTGATTCAAACTACTGATATTTGAATTAATTGCCCATTTCTAATTTACAGTAGATAATAAGGCTGGTTTTACCGATTGGCAAATACGTGAATTGCTTTCAGTAGCTGCTCGGAACACTTATTTTTAAACTACTGTATCAATTGTACCAGAAAATAATTGATGAGGTTATCAAATACCCTTTGAGCCCTCCTTTAGCTAATGCCCTTTTGTCATTATCTGACACTATAACCTGATGACTTCCCTTTACATAATAAATCTTTTGTTTATGCAATATATATATATATATATATATATATAATTTATTTATTTATTTTTCACACAAGGCTCTATGCATAGAATATAGTTGAACAGCATGGGGTTAAAATCCTAGGTAGATTAGTAACATTTAGCAGTCTCCAGTGTATATCTTGAAACATTCCAAACACTCACAACTTACATCTGCTTTCTCAATACTCCCAAAACATAAATCATATTACCTTAGCCTTCTTTGAAAGATTACTACGGCTAGCAAATAAAATGCATTATTTAATGTGATTCAGTTATAACCTAGAGTGGACTTACAAGGCTACTGTTAGTTAAATGATCTTGAGCTGTAAGTTCTGTGGATACGGGAAGCCGCATCTCATCTGTCTCAGATTCGCTGAGAGTTTCTGTATTAAGAAACATCGGGTCCAATTCCAACTCTCCGACACTGTTGACTCGCATCATAACTGTCTGAGAAGTGTGAACATTGCTGCCACTGTGGGAGGAAGAGTGTCTTTAACTTTAACATCAACAACAAACACATTACAAACTAAATTTTATATACTGTACTGTAATCACAACCCTCTCTTGTAAGACATGAAGCTTAGGTAAAATAAACAAAGATCTATAAAAGTAATAGACCTGGGAGCATTCAACCACTACAAGTATATTTCTTAACAGCAACATAAATATTCAAGGACTCAGGATATTTAAAGGCAAAGTGATGCAGGAAAATAGAACTAATGATATAGTAAAGGTAGCATGCAAAAAAATAAAAAGTGGCTGCAAATCTGGACATGAAATCTGGAGGTCATACTCATTCACATCACTGTGTGAAATGAATGAGTATGACTCAGTACACATTAGTATGTCAAGTCAGTAGGATCAGCAAAATACAAAGATTAAGAGAAAAGACTGCCCACATCAAACCAACAGTGATCGAAAAATTAAGATAATGATGTTCTGGGACCTGTAAGCAATGGGGAGTACATTTGAACTTGTGGAAAATGGTATCAGAACACACAAACTAGCTTTAACTGGGTAAGGTCAAGTTGCCCTCCTCCAGACACTTTAGCAATTCATGTTCTCAGTGGGCTAAACATACATTAGTTATATTTGATTTACTGCAAAAGCATGCATTGAAAGAGTAGGCATTGCTCTACAAAATGGCATTACAATGGACACTATATGCAATACCAATAGAGGATGCTGATATTACCTATCTTCCACATATTTACAACAGCATAAATATATCTTGTATGTTTAGAGTACAATGAAGCTTATGGGTTTTCAACAAATGACTCCATGGGATGAGAGTGGAGCAACATCCTCAACCTCTCTGACCAACTAGAAGTCTTCTGCCTCTTAGGTTACATAACCAGAGGAGTATGGGAGGCCAATTACTTAACCACTAGAAACTCCAGCCAAAGCAACCGGGGTGAGAAGAAACATGCACACCTAACCCACAAATCTGAAATTAAAGGTAATGATGATGTTTTGGCCCATCCTAGACCATTATCAGTTCATGTTCATCTTGGCTCTGGCTTTGTAAACACCACTTAGTACCACTCCAGAGCAGTGCCATGCAAAGTAATTTTTTTCATCGCTAACTTATAATAGCTATGAAAGATTTATTGCTTGTAAGGAAGCATTTTAAGATGTCAATGAAATTTAGTAACACGTGCTATATTTGACAGTTACACATAGTTCATATATGTAATTATTCTTCTCTTTTGGGTTGGGTGTTTAATTTTCTGCCACATTATTGTGACTAAGTCTGCAAACCCTTTTTTTTTTTTTTTTTTTTTTTTTGAGATATATACAAGAGTTGTTACATTCTTGTACATTCATTCTTTCTTTTCCTTACACAAACATTTCAGCAACAAGGCCAGTTAGTTGCTTCTCAAAGAAAATAAGGAACCTGTGGAATATGTTAAAAATCAGTAACTATGACCTTCGAGCAATGACCAACATGCTAACGCCTGCTATGAAATATAAAGTTTATAATTTATGCATATATATATTATGGTACCTACAGAAAGAAAAATTTGGGTACAGTGCAAGAATTTCACGTATTTCCTCAATTACCACAAAGTGGTGTATTATCTGAAACAATGGTCGTGCTGATTGAAAACCAAAAACTAACTGGGAACTGAAAACACATTGGACACCCAAGACAATGTATCTGCTCAGTTTGTTTGAACACCACCTAATCCATTGGAACAATCAATTAAAGATTATTTTGAGAAGCAACCTGGTAGCATGAAAGCATTCAATGGCACTAGGGCGTACGGACAAGACTCAAACATACAAACATACATCATGGTAAAGAATAAGACTATTGTAAAGAACAAGTGTATTAGACTTAAAGAAAACCAGACAGTATAATGCAAGATTTTGTGTGAAACACAGCCCACAAGCAAGAGCAGTGAGACAAGTTATGTTATCACCAACTGTATAACATAAATAAAAACAAATGTATGAAATTTTAATGTGAAATATACATTTAAATTCAATTCAAAACGATATCTACCTCTGAGAAGGCTTGTCCGTGCTATCAGTGAGCAGCTGCAAATGTTCATCCTGGAAATTACCCAGATGAGACTTGACTTTCATTTCAGTCGACAACATTGTCCTTTGAGGAGAACTTGAGGTTTGCTTTGACTTTGTCTGCACACCTGATGTACTGAGGATCATAGTGCCAATACTATCAGATTTTGTTTCTAATTTTGTCTGCACATCTGATGATACACTTTTTGAGACAGAGGTACAAGCATTCTGTCTAGGTTTAGTATGCAAGACAGAGGTAAAAAGCTTATTAACATTTGAATCTGCGTGTGATGGTCGACCTCTCGCTTGTCGGACGGTGATGACAGGTACACTCTTCTGCTTTCTAGGAATAGGATGAGGAATCTTCAAAATTCTTAAGGGACTGGAAACATTTGCTGATGCAATTGCTGCTTTGCCATTCTTTACAACGCTTGTCCCTAATGGCATAGCTATTATGTTTTCACTCACACTTTCCATGACAATTTCTGCAGGAACTGTATAAAGACAAAATACATTAAAAGCAAGTTTTGTTAATAAACTTGAGAGAACATAATAGAATCTTTATTACTTATACTTGGTTTTCAATGACTGGCAATTTACAGATTACTCTACTTTCAATTGAAGCCATCAAGGTAAGCCATACAATAAAACTAAATACAGTGGAACCTCAAGTGATGAGCACCTCAATTTATGAACATTTTGAATAACGAGCGCGCCGATCGCCAACAATTTGTCTCGATTATCGAGAAAACCACATGGTGCGTTCCTGCTGTTACTCGCACATTCTCGGACGCCTCCGACGATGCAAATATATTTTTTTTTTTTTTAAAGATGCTAATGATGCTGGGATGTAAAGGGGTGACTGCTGTGATGTTGCAAAGCATTGAATTTTTTTTCAGAATAAAAAAAAAAAAAAAAAGAACAAGTTCATTCAGTGTATGTCAGGTAGGCTGCTCCATGTTTCTTAAAAAAAAAAAAAAAAAAAAAAAAAGGAAAATTTGAAAAAAGGAAAAATGTCATAAAGGTTCGTTCAGTGTATGTCAGGTAGGCTGCTCCATCATTTAAAAAATTTAATATCATATTGATGTTTTTCGATGGTGGAACGGATTATGTTTATTTCCAAGAATTTAAATGGGGAAATTCGTTTTGAAAGACGAGCATTTCACATGATGAACTCGGTGTCGGAACGGATTAAATTCGTTAATCGAGGTTCCACTGTATAGTATTGAATGTAATGAAATGCCCTTTTCTGGTGGGCCCCTAGTAGCTCCTCAAGCTTCCTCTGGTACCACTATGCCTGAGCCCAACTCACCAGGCCTCAAAGACCCATCTGTCTCCTACCAGGTGCCAGGACCAGACTCAATGTGATCTTTCTGACTCCTTGGTGGCCAGCTCATCCTTGGTGTCTGGCTCTTCTGGCCTGGTGTCTAAAGCCAGGCATTTTTCCGTGGCTTCACCTCTTTCAGCAGATCGGCCCGGTGATGTACCTTGGTGGTACGACATTCTCCACTGATCTACGCATCTGGAGTGTCTGACGCAGGTCTACACTATTTGTTTGCAGAGTCATTTGTTTTCTATGAATCTTGCAATTGTCTGTATTGATTCGCTTACGTTCTTGATGTTTTCTCGGTCAGAGTAATCATAAAATTCTCCTGCTTCCTCTGCCTCTATAAGTGGCAGTTTCTGGCTCTGGTTCCCACTAGACCATACAGGACTCATATGGCTGATGTGACTTAGCAGGGAGAGCTATTTCAACAAGATAGTTTCAAGGAGCCACTGATGCCCTTCAAGGAGCCATTGAGTCTCTAATGGGAAGAATTTTTAATTAAATTCAACACCTTTTTTGTCCAGTTGGCTATCTATAGCTCCATTCCCATCCTGATTCCTTCTTTGTCATGGAATGTTAGGCCCAATTTTGGGCTTGGTAATTGTGGTTCATGAGCAGGATGGGTGGCTGGCTAGGACTACAGATGACCAGGGCTGCCATTTGGCAGTCAGGAATATCAAGGTAAGTGTTGTTTTTGCCTTGTTTGCCTGAGAATTTATTTCTTCAGGCAGTCGTTTTGTTTGTTTTGCCCATCATTCGCTCACCATGTTACGAAGCTAGCATAAAACTAATACTTGAAGTACTGCATTATAAATACTAATCACAACAAAATCCATAAAGTTAAAGAAATAAACAATGATGCCTACCCAACTGACCATCGTTGCTGTACAGGAACACATTTGTCATTCCATCACTTGCACTAACATCTTTGATGAGCTTGTTTGAAGCTGCCGGAAAATTAACAAATACAGTACAGTACAGTTATACAGTATTATATTAATGAAGCTGTGCCACGAACCTGTGCATGACCGAGTGTGCTTGAGTGTGGTATTACTTGTTTATCCATGATGATATATATACATATTGTATTATAAATAATATTGTGAAGGATAAGTGTTGTCCACCTTTTTCTATATTTATCAAAGTACAGTACACTGATTAGCTCCTACACCAAGCACAAAGGATGAGTGCTGCCCACCTCCTACGTCAGATGTCACCAGCAAACGTATTCTTTTGTTGGCAGAGCCGCTGTCCTCTCTGCTGGTGATATCTTCAGTGGTGTCTGAACCATTATCCTCTACACTGCACACACTCTCAATGACCTCCATCATGCTCTGTCAAAATAAGCTTCAGTTAGTTGCTTAAAAGGTCCAAAGAATGTTAAAGCAAATGAAAGGAATGTTTGTGACTAAACCCAATATTTTGTGAGATTCAACACAAAATATTAAATACTGGTTCAATGGTTCAAAACTGGAAAACACTGATGCTAATATAATATTATTTTACATCTGCACACAGTCCTTATTGCAACTATATATTTAACACTTAAAATTCAATTATCATCATATATTGATCCTGTGGTAATATAGTTATCATAGTACTGTATGTTAATTTGAGTTATTATTGCCCAGTTTTATACAAATGATGTAAATATGATTATAATATACAGTATGTACAGTATATGGGTGTAACCAAGTTAACTCATGAACAAATTTCTGCAATCATTTTTAATTACTATGCTTGTGGCTATTGTCAAATCACAATTTTGCATTTTCCATTAGTGTTTGAATCTATTTCTGGACGACATTACCAGCAGAATAGCAGTTAAGGAGTGGGATGCATGACACTTCTTTTGAGCTGTACCAGGAAAAGATTTATGTGCAATACAGGTGTTACAGTATGTATTACATTATTAGACCCACACACAGCTCTCAATCACTGTTTTTGTCAATTATTTGTAAATACTGTAGTGTGAGTTATTCTATACATTGAGTAAATTGAAATGAAACAGTGAAATTTCAACACTGGATGCCAAAAAGTACTGCAGAGCTAAGTAGACTCTTATACTTGTCATGTCTGGCGAGTCTAAGTAGACTCACCATCCAGGAACCAGGATGTGTTGGGTTCCGGCTGCCTTGGGTCCAGAATGTGCACCCCCCCTCTCTGACCTAAGTAGACTCTTGTGGATGAGGGCCACAAGACTAACAACACTGCAAACCAGACATGACAGGGCTGATTTTATCAATAATTTTAAAATACTGAACACTTTGAAGGATATTGATTCAGAAAGCTTTTTTCAAAAACTTTTTTCAAAGTAATTATCAAAAGAAGGCACCAAGCCAGTGAGGCTATGTAGGACTTCTTTCAAAGGTCAGATATAACACATACAAGGAGCAGTGACTTCAAGCTTAACAAGCCACAATATAGGACTAAAACAGATGCTTTGATGACCAAACCACACATCAGAAGATGGAGAAAAAAAATAAGATCAAGAGATACTTTTTCACCCATAGGATGCAAGTGAACAACAGGAACACCTTACAGTATCACTGCCAAGTTCAAACTCACGGTGGTTGGACCACCGAGCTGTATCTCCCTCCTCTGACTTGTATCCTGTTCCCTGCTCAAGCTTTCTGTATCCTCACCCCAGCCTTCTGTCCCCTGCTTACCAGACCTATGGTCCTTGGAATTGGAAGGTTATAAATTCATGGAACTGCCTAACCCAGTGTAACTCTAAATGCCAAAACACCACTGCAATTCAAAATCCAGTTGGATAAAATCATCAGGACAAATGGGGGGATGGGGAACCTTTGAGAAGCCACTGGCCACTAGTTAGATGGTGGCCTGCAAGTAAATTCAGGTAAATCTAACTTGACCGTCTCAACACACTTCCCTTTTTATGTTTTTGTTTGCAGAGGCAGATAAGGGTAATTTACTAAAATTATTTACCATTACTATATAATTAAGGTAGTCAAATAATTTACTTTAATAATCTACAAAATACAAACTCAAAACAAATACTTACCAGAGATTTTAACATTGACCTCAAGCAAATAACACACAATATGAATGGTATGTTTGTATCCATCATAATTATCAAGACATCTCCCTCCACCCCTGATCACACCTGGACAAACATAACGGCTGCAGTCCTGTTATTGGGACATGTGCATCCAAGCATAGAAAATTCACCTTCGAAAGGACGTTAACTATTTTGGAAAGTTTCAGGGCCTCAGGACAAACAATACAGTACTGTACTACAAGTGAGACATGACAAGACTGATCTCACCGACATCTTTAGCAGGAATTACAGTAGTTTTGTAAAAGACTGCAGTGTTAATTGTTAATGTTAATTGGCAAAGAAGTAAAAGACTGCAGTTTTAGTTTTAGGCCTGTTTATCCACTTTCTGTACATTAAGTTTAATGTATTTATTATAGTTCAAATGCAATGTATAACAACAATATTTACAGGATATCATGAGGAACTTTAGTTTGTTTAGTTCATTTATTATACACCCCAAACCCATTGCTGTGAGTGGTAGTGAAGAGGTTACAGAGGCACATAATGGGGTCCAGAATTAAACCCTTATACAGTATACATTTGGCTAAGCAAGTTACAGCACTGGTGAACTAGTAACAAAGTTTGCTAATATACATATAGTATAGTCACACAATAACTCTGGCATTAACTCATGTTAATTGGCAAAGCAAATTTGTGAACAAGTAACAAGAGTAAAAGTTTAGTTATAGTAGAGTACTGAAGATAATGTTGCCGTGGTCATAAAGCAAGAAAGAAACTTGCAGACAGTGCAAACTTACACACATTATGGTTATGCACAACTATATCTGTACTAATAATAAAACACTAAAGTGCACCAAATTACTATTTATAATATATTACTGTATTTACAATGTGGCTATATAATGCAATATCTACAGTGTGGCTATATATTTAAACATTTTGAATATTTAAACTATCTACAATATGTAAATATGGAAATGAAAGTTTAATGTGTAGAACAAAGTCAATTCAGAACTTGAACAGCTTAACATTATTATTTGTCTATATATTCCCAGTTTTATATATTCCATACATCATTAAGAACTGTAACTCTTACTATGGACAAAGTTAGTAGGAAATTAATAATTCTGGTTACAGAACATTTGCATGACCTGCTTTTTATTTACATTAAATTTTGGCTAACCTAAAATGTTTAAAAGAGTATCGCTGCACTGAGGGTAAAAACTAGAAATGCTCTACAAATCAAGGGACCCAGACTGTGGAATGACCTTCCCAATCATGTTAAAGACTGTACCTCTCTCAAGCAGTTTAAGATAAAAACTAAGCACTACCTAATTAACTCCCTGTAACCTACCTTACCCCTATAATGTCAACCCATGTCTGTTATTTTTAAACAATGCTGTTTGTCTACCAAATTGTATTTTTGCTGTTTTTCTGCCATGTTCCCCCTTTTTTTATTTTTTTATTGTCTGCACACATTTTATACTTTAATCTCAATTAGTAATAAGTTTTAGTCTTTAGTGTTTTTTCTGCCCGAAACGCTTGCGTAATAGCTACTTAGGCATTGTATGTACTAGCTCTATCTATAAATTCAGCAATACCTGAATAAACATTTGAATTTGATTTTTTTTTTAATTTGCTTTAGCTTACCCAATACTGTAGGTAAATAAAGCAGTGGCCAATAGGGCCTGTAGCCAGCACTGGCCCTGCACAATCCTCACCTTACATAAGGGTATATTGTTTTAATATTCTACAATTCTGAAAAGCCTAAAATTTTGTCTATGATTTTTTTATCCATTATGTGAAAAACAATGTATGACCTGCAAGTGAGCATACATTGCCAGGGGGCAGGAAGCCTTTAAATGGCCTCCTTAACGTTTCTAAGCCAGAGGGAAGCTGTATCTATGTGGTCACCCATCTAGTTACTGGTCAGACCAGTAGATTAATAAACTGGTGCTCAATGGAAGACTGAGGTGAAGACAGCCGGGCACAGCCACCACAGATGGCACAGCCCTCCATTCCTGCAGCTCTTTCTCTCCTCCTCTATTACAACACCTGACCTAATCCGCCATTTTCCCGGTGAAGTAATATGTGTTGGGGCAGGTGTGGAAGGCCAGCGGCGACGCTCCTGGGTGGCTAGTGTGGTGGTGGCGGGCAGGCCCTTGGGTGGCCCTGGGGAGGTGTCACCTCAGGTGTTTATTATGGTAGAGGTCCGGGTACTCACCGTCCAGGAGCCAGGATGTGTCGGGTCCCGGCCGCCTCGGGTCCAGGATGTGCGCCCCCTCCCAGCCCCACCCCATCCCATTTATTTATTTTATTTATTTATTTATTTATATATATACAAGAAGGTACATTGGGATTGTGAGGATACATAGCATAGTAATTACATTCTTGTAAAGCCACTAGTACGCGCAGCGTTTCGGGCAGGTCCTTTAATCTAAGAAAATTTTAAGTACGTAAATACTTGCAAAATTTATAAAAATGATGATAACAATTATCTAACATGATAACATTATCTAACAATAATATTTTATTTACAATAAGGTACAATGGGTTGGTGAGATAACATTAAAGTCATATTTTTTTACATTCTTGCAAAGTCACTAACACTCATAGGGTTTCGGGGGATATCTCTCCTATACAGTGTATCATAATATTTTCCTCTCCATTATGCACCTTATTAAAAAAAACAGTGTTTTGGTATAGGATTAAGACCTACAGCAACCTAGAGAGGGCCAAGAGTGCTATTGACACGCTCGACTAACGTTGGATCAACGTCTTTTAACAAAATAATATGGTGAGTCACTATTAGCTCAACGTCATTTACTCATAATTTCCCGGCGAGATAATTGTCACATCAACGTCATTTGCCCCTTATTTCTTTCGTTATATATCAAAATATATATTTTTGTTGAAAATAAAAAGGGTTCATATAACTATGTCGTCATTTTTATACAGAAACTACCTCGTCACACTGAAACATAACAATGAATTATTTAGAAATCGCGCAATTGGTCTGTAGTACAGTATGTATGTATATATGTATGTTTGTATATGTATGTATGTATCTGTTAGCAAGATCCTCGATCTAAGCCTTTAAGTTATTATTATAATTAATAGCCTTTCTGTCCATGACTATGGGAAACCATATGATAAACATATATGTATATATACTGGCTAACATTGTAACTAAAAGACCATGTATTGTACAGAATAATAATGTAATAAATTATATTATAATAGCAAACCAGTTACCAATACTGCGTTAATTAATACAGTGGCCAATCCCAAAGTACCCTGAGCGTGACGTCGTCAGTCTCAGCCAATCAGCGTCCTTCTTGCAGGAGACGCCTCGACACACCTCCTAACATGGTATCCAAATATAATTTAATAATTATTTATACGATCCTACCATCACCGTCACACCTGAACCAACAACAAAATTGTTGTAAATAAATGAATAAATGTATGATTTACATGTAGATTTGTATAAATGATTCGTAGTGTAACTTAAGTATTAATTATATAATGAAGATGAGAAGACTAGGCACAGACAGCAGTGTACCCGCAGACACCATCGAGGGAGGGTGCAGTTCACGACATTCCAATTATTTACCTTTAAGCATGAAGTCTTTCATAGATGTATCCCCCGACAGCGATTTCCCCATCGAGAACTTGCCGTACGGGATATTCTCGACGTGTGACAACGTAAGTAGAGTGGGAGGAGGGAGAGAAGGTGGTTGCTAGGGGCTGGCGGGCATCTGGCGGCGCTGCTCCAGCATCAGTGGGCACGATAGCGGCTCCCCACAGCGACGAGATGTCTCGTTATCTCTTTAATGTCCCGTCGAGAAAGATTCTTAATTAGAATGTTGGGATTTTCAATCAGAATGTTGGGATTTTCAACTAGAATGTTGGGATATTCAATCAGAATGTTGGGATATTCAATCAGAATGTTGGGATATTCAATCAGAATGTTGGGATATTCAATCAGAATGTTGGGATATTCAATCAGAATGTTGGGATTCTCTGTCTGAATGTTGGGATTCTCTTGTCTGAATGTTGGGATTCTCTTGTCTGAATGTTGGGATTCTCTTGTCTGAATGTTGGGATTCTCTTGTCTGAATGTTGGCATTCTCTCTGAATGTTGGCATTCTCTGTCTGAATGTTGGCATTCTCTGTCTGAATGTTGGGACTAATTCAGAACGTTAAGATTCAATACTGAGAATGTAGAATGTATATCTCAACACATGCTTGCATGCATTCGTGTACTGATTATTTTATTTATTGATTTAATAATTGTTGGGCCCCACAATTGTACCAGAAGTGGTACTCTTTTATAATTTATATATTAATATACAAATTATATAAAATTTGGTTATTATTCAGTATATAATTTGTGTATGTTTGTATATAAATTAGAATATATATTTAAATATATTGGGCTACCACCTCGGGTACAATAGTGGGGGACCCATGACCTTGGAGAAGAGGATTAAAGGCATTCAAAGAAGACCTTGGTGATTTTCCTTGAGCACTTGTGAATATTAACTTGTACCATCCCCAAGGTTTTTTTTTTTTTGTTCATTATGAGACAATAAATAATGTGTTTATATAAAAATCGATTTGTCTGCCCAACCCAATCTAAAAGTGGTATGGAGAAAGAGAGTACAGTACAGTAGTACTAAACTGAAATGTGTTTGCCAATGTCTCGGTATTACTGGGTTAAAATAGACGTTTCAAAAGTTAAAAAGACACGTTGCTGTCCTGAATAAGAGTGAATAAATCTTGACCAAACTTATTCTATTATGTATTATAAGCATTTGGTTGTATAATATTAAGTTAAATATTGTACATTATCTATACATGGTATACAGCACATGTATTTGTTGTATAAATGTAAATATTAACTGGCTAAATAGTTTTTACTTTATCCACGATAAATTAATGGCATGAAATTTTTAGAACTTTGGTAATATTTGTCGAAATATCATTGTTACACTCACTGTTACATTGTTCTTGCAGCCAAGTCACCACATTGGTGTTGCCATTGGTAACTTGATTTTAGACCTGTCGGTGATTTCTCACTTGTTCAATGGACCTGTCCTCAAAGCCCACCAACAAGTGTTCCAGCAGGTGGGTGCATATTTTCAAAAAGTTTAGGTTAATTTTCCTATCCTTGCTTGTTCCATATGTCATATTATAGAATTGGGAGTTAGATTTTGTTTGGGGGGGGGGATTTAGTCTTGTCACGGTAAATTATGTTCTTATCAGCCTGATAAAACATTATTGTAAGCTTATTTGCACCTGTTGCCTGAAAGATTGTAAATTGTAGATTTTTTACACTATTGAAGATGATCACAATTAGCAGAGGGGTATTGACTTTTACCTTGCTTGGTAGACAATTCACTGGAGATTGGGTGTTATGCTAGCTCATACAGCTTGTTTCAACTAGCATATGTAATATGATACAACTGGTTCCAGGCCACCCTCAATGACTTCATGAGCCTGGGCATTCCAGCCTGGAGGGAAGCCAGGTCAACGCTGCAGACTATACTAAGTGATGATGATCCAACTCTGCGTGATGACCCATCTCTTAGAGCCAGGTAACCACCCATTTTTAACATTATATTTTTTTAAAGGTTTTGTAAAATGTAATTGTTACCTTTCTAGCATTTCAATGAATATACTATTTAATGTATGTTGATCAAAATATGCCTGTTTACTGTCACTTCAGTCATGAAGTATTCTGTATACAGTACTGGTACTGTGTTTGAGCTATAGAATTTCACTTAAACACTTCACTTCACTGAAAACTTCATTCAACATTGTTTTTGCAGAGCTTTTGTGCCTCAAAGTGCAGCCAAAATGCACCTTCCAGCAGAAATTGGTGATTACACAGACTTCTATTCTTCAATTGACCATGCAACCAATGTGGGCACAATGTTCCGTGGGAAGGAGAATGCTCTTATGCCAAACTGGTCAGTAGCATAGCTATTCTATCTAACCCCAACACCTTATTTCATTTTGGGAGCTCCAGATCAGTTGATAGCCAATGGAAGATGTAGATTCCACAACCACACAAATCTTTTTTCTTGTAGCTACCTTAAACCCTCCCCTACTCTTTCCTTCCATGATATTGAAAGTTATCTTCCTCTATAAAAATGATCCAATACTTTCACCATCATATGCACTCCTTAAATGATACTTGGGTATCCAAATAAAATGTCATTACTATTGTACAGTACCTTTGCTGTACTTCACCTAACTCCACATTTCATTAACTTTCCTGTTTCATTCATATTTCTCATTGTTATACCTAAGTAGTGTTGTGCAATTAAAATTTCTAATTTTAAAACTTACATATTATATTCAATGGCAGATAAGTTTGCTTGGCTTGCTTAAATGTGTGTGCACGTACGTAGGAAGTGACTCGTGTAACCAAGGAAGGGGGAGGGGGTAGAAATAGCCTAAGCTACTCTATCCCTTTGAGATGTACTTCTTTCTTGTCTGAATAAACATACTTGAACTTTAACTTGACTCGTGTAATCATGTAGATTTAAGAATATTCATCATAGAAACTTGATTGCTTGTGCTCTTTTTATGGCAGTTGTTAGTTATTCAGTGTTTTTTTGACAGAATGAGTAGATGAAGTTCATCCTTCCTTAAAATAGTAAAATGTTTCCTCCCACATTTTTCTTTCTTTAGGAAATACATGCCAGTTGGTTATCATGGTAGAGCCTCCAGTGTAGTCGTATCTGGCACACCAATACGCCGGCCAAATGGCCAAACTCGTCCAAAAGACGATGAGCCCCCTGTGTTTGGACCCTGTCGACTGATGGACTTTGAGCTTGAGATGGCCTTCCTTGTTGGGCCAGGGAACAAGATGGGAGACCCCATTAGTGTGAGGGATGCTCATGAACATATATTTGGCATGGTTCTCATGAACGATTGGAGTGGTAAATATTAACTCTTTTTTTTAATGTATAGCCCCTCTGTTTCATTTCTCTGGCTACAAAAATATTTGAAGGTAGGAAAAGCAGGCTGGTCTTTAACCTCATTAACTTTCCCATTCTTCTGTGGTCGTAGTGCTTGTTCAACTGATTGTATTGTCTATATTGTAACTACAGAGATAATACACTAAATGCAGGCTGAGTCACTATAATGTGGCTGAAGATATTATGTCCAAACCACATCAGAAATGAAGAAACGATAAAGTTTTGATCCCTCCTGGACCATTATAAAGTCTTGATAATGGTCCAGGACAAAGTGAAACATTGTCATTTCTTCATTTTCTGATGAAAACATATGTCCAAACCATTAGCTAAACTTATGTCTATTAACTAAATATTTGAGTATTAAAAGAAATTATTGAAGGTAGTCTCTATAGAAAATTCAAATAACGTGCATCTTCAAGACTTGAATTTTTTTAATTCATAGGTTACATACTTATGGCTTGAAAATGTGATTTAAATTGCACACTGCATCACATAACATGACAGTATTATATAAACATTGTAACCCAGGAGTTGGTATGTGCCCACCATATCTAAGCATCTCCAAAACCATAGAAAAACCACCAAAGCATGCCAAGGCACCATGCTACTTTTCACAATAATATTTTATTAGTCTGTGATTCCCATGGAGCAAGCCACCAACATAGTGGTTGCCAATGTGAGGACAGAAGATTTTGAACAGATATATCATGGCAGTTTCATAAAACAGGAATGGTAATGGGTCAAATCATATAAAATGTATTCCACAAAATTTATTAAAAACATTGACATTTAAATTTACTTGGAAAATAATGCATATTGTATATGTTAGTAACTTTTTGTATTTGTATACTAATACATTATTAGATTCCAACCAAAAAGATTTGAATGAACTCTTAGCAAAACAAGCCTTAATTTGACAATTTCTCATGGATGTTAGCCTTAATGAATCTGTTTACCATGTCTTCAGTTTGTCTATCATTTTGAATAGATTTGATTTTGATGACAATTTCTCCAACAGCCAGAGACATCCAGAAGTGGGAGTATGTTCCTCTTGGCCCATTCCTGGCAAAGAACTTGGGTACAACAATATCTCCATGGGTAGTAACCATGGAGGCTCTGGCTCCGTTTGTAGTAGACAACTATGTCCAGGACCCTCAACCCTTCCCTTATCTTCAGCATGAAGATAAATATACTTATGATATCAAGCTAGAAGTGGGGATTCGCCGTAAGTTCTCTATATTTGAAACTATGATTTATTTTTATTTATTAAGTCAATTATGAAATACAGTAGTTATTTGGAGAATAAATGTGCGAAAGTAGTTTTACCATATAACTCGGTTTCATTGGGTGGAGAGGCATTAGAGCACAACACTTTGTTGATCGCATAAATTTCCAACATTACTGAAGGTTTTGTTTCCTATTGATTCCTGTAAGTCAATACTGTTAGGTACTCTTTGGTGAATCAAACCTCTAATGTATCCAAGTTTGTTATTCTCTTGTATTGGCATCTTGAGTGATATATAGGTCTCTTGCTGTTATTTATCTTGTATGGTGCTACATAGCCATCCCAGCTAGATACCCTTTGTCTGTGTCTTTACTATTGTAGGACAAGATTAGTTTTCAAAATGACATTTTCATTCGCCTTAACTACCACACTAAACATCCTTGCAAACATTTTCATTCGCCTTAACTACCACACTAAACATCCTTGCAAACAACCGGCACTGTCACATAAGAATAAAAAAAGAATAGAGGAAATGGCTGAAGGCCTATTGCTCCATGTGAGGAAACTTATTTATAGCAGACTTGCTCATACTTGTATATAGTATATTTTTAGGGGTATACCTGGTATTGTCCAGGTCTCTTGTCTCTTCCCCTCTGTCTACCTATACAGTATATATATCTATCTCCCTCTCTCCCATCTTCCCTACCCTCATCCCCCCCCCCCTCCAACCTCAGATAGACATTTTCATTTATATATGAAGTAAATGATGAAAATGCACAGGTAAATTGTGGAATATTCTTCAAAACATTTAATTGTTCATCTGTCTGTGGCTAACCCGATACTGATACCATCACAATTAAATTTACAGATAGAACAAGGAAATTAAATTATTTATTGAACATTACATTATAGGGTAACTCTTAGACAAACTGGTTAGTTTATATAGTGACAAATTAAAAAAAATTTCATAACACTTCTGCATTCTTTTTTTTTTTTTTTTTTTTTTTTTCTCTCTACATAAAGACCTCACTCAATTTATTTCCTTAGTCTCTGTTCCTAACTCATCTTCCATAGTATTGTATTACTGTACTGTACTTCATTTTAAACATTCAAATGATTTATTTTTTTATTTGTAGCTGATGGTAGTGATCACTTGGGAATTGTTTCTCGTAGCAATTTCCGCCACATGTACTGGACAATGAAGCAGCAACTCGCTCACCACACCATTACTGGCTGTAACATTCGTACAGGGGATCTTCTAGCATCTGGTACTATTTCTGGACCAGTAAGTATAAATTGCCAATAATTAGGTATCGATTGCAGGCATACCTTGGTTCCGCCCCTCTATATTTGACTAACCTTTATCAGCTTGAAACTTTCAGCATGGAAATATGACAAAAATACTCCTATGGTGGTAGTTTATTAAAATTAATCCCTTGGAATTTTATACATTTTGAATGTTTCCAATGATCCTTCTCTACTAAGGTTACCAAGCTGAGTTCCCTTTGCCTGTCTTGATAGCTTAGTTCATTTATTTCAGATACCAGCCTTGCTGTAAGCCTTATGACTTTCAGAATTGTCTTGTTTCATATGAAGATTTTAATGCTGGTACAGACCTGGCATGTCTTTATTTTAAAATGCTGTCTGTATGTTTGCCAGTTTCAATATACTGTATGTTGCTGTTATCAGATAAGTGCTGGTGTTCAGTCCATGACCAAATCTTTGATAACATTAGTTGTTTTTCATATAGTGCCATTTAATCTATGTAGCCTCGTCCCCCCCCCCCCCCCCAAATCTTTACTACATCACTTGCCAAGATTGAACTAGCAGCCATTGGTCTGTCCACTCCTATAGCTTGGTTTAGTTCCTCCTGCAGCAGTCTCTAGTTCTTGTTAGTCCTTACACTTCATTGTCTGCAAACATTAACATGGTGGATCTTGCCCCTTTGTGTAGATCATTAACATGGATCAAGAACAGCTGGGGTTGGATCCTAGAGGATCCCTGCCTGCTTTCCACCTTTATTCCCATATTTTCTATTTCCTATTGTTTGCCAGATAATCTCCTATCTAGTCCAGTAATCACAAGCTAGTGGGGGACAGTATCAAATGCTTTCTGGCTGTCTTGGAGAATGCAGTCTATTTAGCCCATCTTTTTACTTGCAGAACTGAGGCTTGCCAAGCAGTTTTTTCCCTCCTTAAATCATTTCCTCTTCATTATGAAATTTGTTCTGATGATGCTCTAGTATCCTGTTGCTGATAACTGTATCCAGTACTTTGTAGGGAACCAAGTTTGTAGTTTAGGGTTTCTGTCCTCTTAATAGTGTGTATTTTCTTTTTCACAGATAGCCAAGCATTTCCCTAGCTCTAATGTTGTGTTGTAAATCCTAGTTAATGGAATACATAGTACCCCTTGCAGTCTCCTTTTTGTAGTTTTGGTGTTATCTGAAGGGTGGGTAACAGAAATACATTCACATGCAACCTATGAAGAAATAGATAGACAAAAAGACCCATAATTAGACATTACTAAGTGTACCATGGCTCGAGCAATTAATAATGTAAGTGCAAAATAATGCTTTATCTTGATACCTGAACTATTAAAAGTTTTCACAATATTACACTATCAAATGAGGGACTCTGAACAGATTCTGGTTTTAGACTTTTGAATATGCAGGTGGACCAGACCACAATGGATCTGATCTGGAACTCTTTGACACAGTGGCAACAAATAGGATACTGTGTAGTGAAGTGTGTTGATACATCTGGAGTTTGGTGTTGGAAAAAGCTATTGTGTACGAGATATTCTATAAAGTCACAATTTAAATTGTCATATGACCATTAAGCCTGAATGGTGCTTGCTAGGGGTTTTGTAATCAATAAGCTGCTCGTCTATAGTAAGCTGCATCTATTATATTGTTCTTATATTGCATTACATTAAATATAACATTTCTGGCGCCCAATAGAGTGAAGAGTCGTTTGGGTCAATGCTGGAATTGTCATGGCGTGGGAGTAAAACTGTGGATATTGGAAATGGAGCGAGCAGGAAGTTCCTGCAGGATGGAGATGAAGTGGTCATAACTGGCTACTGCCAAGGTAAAGGTCACAGGGTTGGCTTTGGCCCATGTGTTGGGAAGCTGCTTCCTGCAAAGTCTCTTCAGTAAAGTGACAGATCAGGATTTCTGTTTCTTGATGTAGGTTCCTGGGATAATGTTAACAATTGAGTATCTACTTGTTATAAATCATAGAACTTACCATTCCGAAAAGTTCTTAATTATTGCGCGCGCGCACACACCCAATTATATATATATATATATATATATTTATAATATGTCGTACCTAGTAGCCAGAATGCACTTCTCGGCCTACTATGCAAGGCCTGATTTGCCTAATAAGCAAAGTTTTCCTGAATTAATATATTTTCCCTAATTTTTTTCTTATGAAATGATAAAGCTACTTATTTCATTATGTATGAGGTCAATTTTTTTTTCTTGGAGGTAAAATTAACGTAGATATATGACTGAACCTAACCAACCCTACCTAACCTAACCTATCTTTATAGGTTAGGTAGCCGAAAAAGTTAGGTTAGGTAGTCGGAAAACAATTAATTCATGAAAACTTGGCTTATTAGGCAAATCGGGCCTTGCATAGTAGGCAGAGAAGTGCGTTCTGGCTACTTGGTACGACATATACACACACACACACATTATATATATATATATAGATATATCTATCACGAAAATAAACACGTGATTAAAAATGTGAGTGTCAAACCACAGAGGAAAATTGAAACAGGAATTTCCTTAAGTACTTTCGTATATTAATACATCTTCAGAAGGAGTGAATACATCTTCATAAAAACTCCTTCTGAAGATGTATTAATATACGAAAGTACTTAAGGAAATTCCTGTTTCAATTTTCCTCTGTGGTCTGACACCAATATATATATGTATATATACAGTATATGTATATGTATGTTTCTATTGTTTCACAAAAACGGTGGTTACTTAATGTAGTACATGACTAACTTTTACACATTGTAGTTATGCTATAAAGTTTTTGAATAATTATATGGCATAAAGAAAATTCAATTTTTCATTGATATTAGAATATAGAGTATGATCAAATTATTAGGATATGAGAACTTAAGTGTCAACATCACTGGTTGGTTGTGGTTTTTACAGTTTATTGTAAAATCTTATCTTACATAGGGAAATATTTTGGGGTTAATTAAAACTATATGCTGCTGATATTTTATGTACATATGTACAAGTTCAATTTGTTTAACTATCCATACATATTGTTAACTTTTTATCAGGTTTGTCATTGTGAAAATGGTTAAACTGTAGGTTTGTGCCAAGAAAGTTGGCATGAAATTCTGGATTTTAAGGTGAGAAGATATGTTATTCAGTGAAGGTAATTAATGGTACAGGTGAGATATGATGGGAACCTAACTTTATGGTCTATTAACCATGAATACCAATACTCGCCTTAACCCTTAGACTGCGCAATACATACATATCTTGAAATTATTTTTTGTCAAATCATATAAGTTTTTAAAACTTGCACAAACACTTTCCATATTTTTTTTTTTTTTTTCATAATCAACTAAGCAAATGCTCCAATTTTGTCTAAATGATCACAGCGTAACTTGAAAAACCAGAGATTCAAAATTAATTTTAAAATTGAATATTGAAAACTTCAGATTTTCAATTCAAAATAAAAAATATGAACTATCATTAATTGTTCATTTAATGTTATTATTCTCTCAGAATAGCATATGATCTTCATTTTCATTAAATTAGAATATAGGTTACACTGCACATGAAATACTACAAAGAAAAATAAATGTAGAAATAAATTTAGGGATGAATTTTCACCAAATGGTGTTAAATATATTGCTACAATGTACAATAAATTCAAATACAAAAAATTTAAGGTAGTACTGTATCAAAAGGTTAACTGTGAAATCAAATGTGTAATGCAGGCAAAAAATTAATGGTGCCTTAAAGTGAAATAGTTAAGAACAAGTACTACATTGGTAAAATGCTGTAGAATATCAAAATTGTTATGCTAGAAATAAAACAATGCTATAAACCCTTACAGCTTGTTGACCAATAAAGAAAATTATCGAGACATACAATCTCGGTACAGCAATTCCATGTGCAATTTTATCAAAATTTTATAAATACTATTAAAGATGTCAGTACTAGAGCAGGACATATGAATACCTATATGTCAGATTCACTGAGAAAGTATCTTCTAAAAACAGTCATTAAGGAATGGTTGGGAAGCATCCTGTAGTTTCTCTTGAAAATCAATTAAAAGATTGAATACTGGAAGCAGAACAGGACAATCAGATTGGTAAGGAATTGGGACTGCCTTTCATCTATTGGTTGTGGGTTAACCTACAACGTTTCCTACCAATGATAGCATTTGGCACGATTATCAAATAAAAATCTAAAATTGGAATGAAATGTAATGATAGATTCAGCAGCCAAACAAGTCATTCATGTATGTACAGTGTTAATTTTGGGAATGCCTATATGACTGGACCCAGCAAAAAGACTATGGTTACATCTCTTCAGTATACAAAGCTAAACCTCTAGGACTAGAAGTTGGTGTTAAAAGAAGCAACAGCCATGAGCAATTTGAGTTGACTCCTACAGATGATTGCTGGTTCAACATATCAATTTTCAGAGTGAAGAGACTGACAGAGATGTATAGTAAAACACTGTGCTGTACTATATTTGCCTTTAAAGGGAAGCAACACAACTGTAGTATTAAAAAAATATGTAGCCACTAGAAAAGGTCAGAAAAAAAGGTAACAAAAGTAAGGCTGGATTTTCACATGAGGTTAGATGAAATGTCGAGTCTAGACCAACAGAGATTGCAATAAAACATTCCTGAGCGTTTGACTTATTTTGCTGGGCATTCCACTTGGTGCATAACGTCTGTACTTGCCTAGTTGTGCTTGTGGGGGTTGAGTTCTGGCTCTTTAGTCCTGCCTCTCAACTGTCAATCAATTGGTGTGCAGATGCCTAAGCCTACTGGGCTCTTATCATATCTACATTTGAAACTGTGTATGGAGTCTACCTCCACCACATCATTGCCTAAGGCATTCCATCTGTTAACTACTCTGATACTGAAAAAGTTTTTTCTAACGACAATTTATCTTTATCTACCCTGTCGATTCCTCTTTTAGAATTTTGTAGGTAGTGATCATGTCTCCCTGAGCTCTATCTTCCAGCAACATTAGGTGCATTTCACACAGCCTTTCCTCGTAACTCGTGCCTCTTGGTTCTGGGACTAGCCTAGTGGCATACCTCTGAACTTTTTCCAGCTTAGTCCTGTGCTTGACAGAGTACGGGCTCCATGCTGAGGCCGCATGCTCCAGGATTGGTCTTACATATGTGGTATACAAGGTTCTGAATGATTCCTTACACAGGTTCCTAAAGGCATTTCTGATGTTAGCCAGCCTCGCATATGCTGCCAATGTTATTCTTTTTATGTGGGCTTCAGGAGACAGGGTTGGCGTGATATCAACTCCTAGATCTTTCTCTTTGTCCGTTTCATGAAGGACTTCATCTCCCATTCGGTATCCTGTTTCCACTCCCTAGTTTCATTACCTTACATTTACTCGGGTTGAAGACAAACTTTGCAGTTTGTCTAGGTCATCTTGTAGCCTCATACTATCTTACTGTCTTAATCCTCCTTATAAGTTTTGCATCAGCAAATATTGAGAGGAATGAGTCTATTCCCCTGTGGGAAATCATTTACATATATCGGAAATAGTATTAGTCCAAAGACTGAACCCTGTGGGACTTCGCTAATCTGAGACCTCACCCCTCACAGTGACTCGCTGTCTTCTGTGGCTTAGGTACTCCCTTATCCAATGGAGTACCTTCCCTTTCATTCCTGCCAACATCTCCAGCTTGTGCATTAGTCTCTTGTGTGGTACTGTGTAAAATGCTTTCTTGCAGTCCAAAAATACACAGTCTGCCCAACTCCTCTCTTTCTTGCCTGGTCGTAGAATTCAATTAATCCTGTGAGGCATGACTTGCCATCCCTGAACCCATGCTGATGTTGTGTTACAAAGTTCTTTTGCTCCAGATGTTCCACTAGCTTTTTTCGCACAATCTTCTTTATCAACTTGCATGGTATGCAAGTTAGGGACACTGGCCTGTAGTTTAGTGCCTCCTGCCTATCTCCCTTTTTGTATATCGGGACTACATTAGCAGTCTTCCAAATTTTTGGCAGCTCCCCTGTTACCAGTGATTTGTTACACACTATGGAGAGGAAGGAGCAGAAGCACTGTAACTGCCATTAGTATCCATAGTGAGATTCCATCCAGGGTCTATAGCCTTTGTCACACAACTCTAGCAAAAGCTTCCTCACCTCCCCACTGGTAATCCCAAACTCCTCTAGCAGTGCCTGGTTATTTATTCCCTCTCTTATCCCTGGAACATCTCCTTGCTCTAATGTGAAGACCACCTGGATTTTCTTATTGAGTTCCTCACACACTTCCCCACCCCTTCCTCACTCCTCACACTTATTTCTGTGGTTTTCTCAACTTGTTGACTTCTAAAGGGACAGAATTCTGGTCCCTGTCTCATTTAGGCTATGATAATCTAAGACACATGGCAAGGATGGTATTGGCTCAGAGGTGCCAGTGCATAAGAGGTGAGAAACTACTGAGGGGTCCCCAGAAAATGAGGTTTCATTATACTCGGTGCCCTATTTTTCCATCATTGTTTTTGGTAATGTACATGTACTCTATTATACTAAACTATACTGTATATGCATTTATTTTTGTATTAACAAATCCTAATACTCACAAGAGTTAGAGAGAAATCACACCAATGTGATAAGAGCTCCAGTTGATTTTCTTATTGGTATACTGTATATCACATTAGTGCGATTTCCCTGTATAAATGATTTTGGGGCATACGGTGTTGACCTACTTTACCCACACCTGGGTGCTCGGGGATATACGTAAAACTTGGTACAGTATGCCTTTAGGAGAGGCCTCCAAACTTTGTCGATTCAGTAGAATCCTAGGTTGTATAACTTTATCGCTGTACCATCTTGATCTGGTATGAGGTTGCAACCGGTAGTATGCTGTTTGCGGATTCAAGTCACCCAAAAGCTCCAGTTGATTTCCTCAGTGCCAGACATAATTTGGAAGAAGTTTGCTATTTTAATGAGTCCATAGTAAACAAGTACGTGTAGTGTTTCTCTGCAGTTTTATGAAATTTAAAATGTAAATTTAGCTTACAATGGTACCATTTTAATGGTACTGTAGAGCTCAGTTGGTACTAATAGAGGGTGAGTCTTAACCCACTCTCCCTCAAGCACAATTATGCAAACATGG